TATCTATCTATCTATCTATCTAAAAATTGGAAATGTTTGTGAGCCAGAATCTTCTAGGTTTTTAAACTGGTATAGTGGCCTCTTAGGGAGATAGAAAGTTTTGAATTATAGCTTCTGGTTTAGATCTTTTTAATTTTCTTTTTTAAATTAAGAAGTAATATATTTACAGAGATGTGCACAACTCTTAAGTGTACTTGATGAATTTACACACACACAGGTAACCACCACCCAGATCAAGAAGAGGACATGTTCGGCACCCTGGAGTTTTCCTCATAGCAATTTCCATCTCCTCCCTTCCCCAAGCTATTTGCTATTCGACTTATATCCACCATTTACTAGTTTGCCTCTTCTCGAACTTGGAATAAATATCACACAGTGTGTGCTCCTTTGTACTGGGCTCTTTCACTCATTACATCTGTGAGATGCAGCCATGCTGCATGTAGCAGAAGTTCGGTCTCGGTTCCTGCTGCGTAGCATTTCAAGTTCGGACTATGTCGCAGTTTGTTTACTCATTCTGCTGTTGAAGGATATTTGGGTTGTTTTCAGTTTCTGGCCCTTGTGAAACAAAAGCTACTGTGAGCACTCTCATTGCCTTTTGGTGGATATATTAATTTCTTTGGGGGCTGGTATTGTTGTACCTGTTTTTATTTTCTTGAATTTAGTGGGTATCATTTGGCTTGTTAGATTTAATAGCTCAGGTTTGTGTAGGCCATGGAAGTCCTAGACCATCAATGTATTGATATCCAGTCTTACAGTATAAGAAAATGAATGGATTCAATTTCCATCTTATGAAAAATAATTAGTAACAAAGAATACTATTTAGTCTTCAGAGCACTCACAGTTTGTGTACATGTAAAACTTGGCATATTTGTCAGAATTCTTTTTCATTTTTTTTTTTAATTTTTATTGTTGAATGTAGAATGTATTACAGATGTTCCTCATTTTTCCCCCATTGACCCCCTCCTCCCCCTCCCGCCTTTTCCCACACTATTGTCTGTGTCCATTGGTTATGCATATAAGTTGTTTGGTTTATTTCTTCCCATCCCCCAACTGCTTTCCTTTGAGGTTTGTCAGTCTAGCAATGAATTTGTACTTCTTAATCCCTTCACCTTTTTCACCCATTCCCCTAACCCCCCTCCCATCTGGCAACCAACCAAATGTTCTCTGTATCTATGAGAATGTTTCTGTTCTACCTGTTCATTTTGTTTGTAGATTCCATTATCGATAGATATGTATTCATTGCCATTTTGTTTGTTCATATATTTTATCTTTTTCTTCAAAAAGAGCCTTCATCATTTCACATGATAACGGTTTGGTGGTGATGAACTCCTTTAACTTTTTCTTGTCTGGGAAAGTCTTTATATGTCCATCGATTCTAAATGACAGCTTTGCAGGATAGAGTAATCTTGGTTGTAGGTTCTTACTTTTCATCACTCTGAATATTTCTTGCCACTCCCTTCTGGCTGCAAAGTTTCTTTTGAGAAATCAGCTGACAGCGTTATGGGTACTCCTTTGTAGGTAACTAGCTGCCTTTCTCTTGCTGCTTTTAAGATTCTCTCTTTGTCTTGAACCTTTTGCATTTTGATGATGATGTGTCTTGGTGTGGGCCTCTTGGGGTTCATCTTATTTGGGACTCTCTGTGCTTCCTGGATGTATATATCTGTTTCCTTCACCAAGTTAGGAAAGTTTCTGCCATTATTGTTTCAAACAGGTTTTCAATTTCTTGTTCTCGCTCTTCTCCTTCTGACACCCCCAAGATGTGAATGTTGGCATGCTTGAAGTTGTCCCAGAGGCTCCTTACACTATCCTCATTTTTTTGGATTCTCTTTTCTTTTTGCTGTTCTGATTGGGCGTTTTTTGCTTCCTTATATTCCAAATTGATGGTTTGCTTCTTGGATTTACGTGCTCTACTATTGAATCTGTGTAAATTATTATTTATTTCAGTTAATGCCTCCTTCATTTCTGACTGTGCATCCATCATTTCTGACTGGTCCTTTTTTATGCTCTTGAGGCCCTCACTAAATTCACTGAGGTTCTCACTAAGTTCATTGAGCATCCTTATAAGCAGTATTTTGAACTCAGCATCTGTTAGGTTGCTTATCTCCATTTCGCTTAGGTCTTTTCTTGGGGTTTTGTTCTGTTCTTTCATTTGGGACCTGTTTGTTTGTCTCCTCATTTTAGCTGCCTCCCTGTGTTTGTTTCTGTGTATTACTTAACGAGCGGTATGGGACTAGCTGACACCAGATGCTGCTTGTTTGAAAGAATTTAGGAAAAACCTCAAGCAGGATCCAAGACAGGCCAATCCTATGGTTAAGCAAGTGGCAACAGCTTGGGTGGGCCTGAAAGTTGGGTGGGGCGGGGCCTCAGGGAGTCAGCAGGGCGGGGCTACCAGTGTGAGCCAGGTTGCTGGAGTCCCAGATATGGCGACTGTCTGCCGCCCCCGGAAAGGGCTCACCAAAGGAACAAAGGCCTCTGACAGCGTGTTTGTCTGGAGAAAGCCCCCTCTCCAGCCCTCGCTCCAGTGCCAAACAGCTCAGTTCTTCCCTGTGTGTCTCTGGTGCCCCTCCAGCTGCCTCCCCTCCAAGCTTAGAGGGAGAGAGTCCGATAAGTCCGTGCGCGGGCCCTTTAAGGAGCTGCCTGGGGCTCCAGCCACTTCAGCTTCCCTGAGCCTCAGTTCCTGCTGGTTTTTCCAGCCAGAAGTTATGGGGATTCTCTTCCTGGCACTGGATCCCTGAGTGGGGCACCTGGTGTGGGATGGGGACTCCTCAGTCCTCAGGAAGGACCTTCCCAGCCGAGGTGTCCTCCTGATTTTTATCCGCCACACGTGGGTCTGGGCCCAGCCCCTCACCCCTCGCCCCTCCTACCAGTCTGGATGTGGCTGCTGCTTTAATTCCGTAGTTGTAGGACTTCCAGTCAGGATGATTTCAGGCGGTTTTGAATGATGGTTGTTCTGTAGTTTAGTTGTAACTTTGATGTGGTTTTTGGAGGACTCGATACCCTGTTTACCTACCCGCCATCTTGACCGGAAGTCTCCAGAATTCTTTTTCATTTGCAAATTGGAGAAACCCAAACGCAAAACAACTTAAGTCAAAAAGGGAATGTAATGAATCAAGTATTTAGTGGTTGTCTGCCTTCAGGCATGGCTGGATTCAGGTGCTTAATAATGTCTTCAGCATTTGAATTTCATTTCTGTTTATCTCTTGACTCTGTTCTCTTCCCTCTGGCACTAGAGAGCTTCTCTCTTCCCAACATGTCTGACTAAACTCCCAGAATTGAATCTTATTGGTATGACTGGGTTATATACCCTGACCCAATCACTGTGGCCTGAAAGAACGTAATTCTGATTGGTTCATATATCCACACCTGGACGGAAAGTGGGGGTGTTATTCAAGGAAAAGTGTTTCCATGAAAGAGAGAAATGAATGCTGGGTAGAAACAACATAAAGAAAAATGGACTTCCACTATGCTGAGAAATACGGAATTGAGTTGACAAATGAACATTCTAAGACTACAGGTGATGGCATAAGGTTAATTGTTTTTAGCTCTAATTATGCAAAAGAAAGTCTAACCATTTTCGTTTGCATGGAGATAAACTTGTAAACATTAACTGAACTTTGAAAATGGTTTCCTTCCATTTTCAAAGGCAACACCATTCATCTAATGCTTGCTTGCCTGGAGATATTTTTGTGTTTTATTTTCTTGCTTCGCACCCTTCCCATATCGTTCAGTCCACAAATCCTTTTTCTTCTTCCTTTAAATTTTCTCCCGTATTTATTTATTTATTTATTTATTTATTTATTTATTTATTTATTTTACTGATCCTACTGACACTACATCAGCAGTTCCAGGCTAACAGTCTATCACTGGACCAACCCTAGTGACACAAGAACGCGTCTTTCCCGGTTATTCTAGTCAAAGTCTTAGAAGACTGACTTGGGTTACCAGCCCATCCCTGGGGCCAGGGGCATGGTGGACACTGATTAGCCAGGCCTGGGTTATGTGACCATCCTTGGTATCAGAAATGTCATTAACTCTTCCTGAATCACCTGGACCAAGAGTGGGGGAGGGGCAGATGCCCAGAGGAAAATAAGGGCATTGATGCTAGAAGAAGGGAAAATGAATAATAGACAAGTAAAAGCAACCGGTATCTGGCACACTTATAAATGAAAATGCCAACACTTCTGATTTCAACATAAGCTGTGTTTATAGATTAGAACTCATGGAATTCATAAAATCATATTTTCAACTGGAAGGGATGGTACCAATTATCTTCTTACCCAAGTCCTCTAGTTACCATGAACCATTCTTCCTTCGGACACTCATACTAATTTATGCTTTGAACCCTAGGACCACTAGTGCAATCAAAGTGCTCAAAAGTCCTGGTTCCTTGTAATCTTTTGGTTCATTGTACCCCTCCTTCCCAACCAAGGGATTATATTGGTCAGGATATAAGTTTGGCCACACGAATCAGATACCTGAAAAGCAGTGGTTTATGTAAGGTAAACATTTCTCTTTACATAAAAGCCCAAGCTGATATAGCAGCACTGATCTGTGACATCATCAGCAACTCAGGCTCCTTCCCTTTGTTATGCTGCTATCCTTAAGGTGGGTGCTGCCTTTGTGTGCATGCCCAAGAGGGCACACCATCGTTTCCACACTCCAGCCCACGGGAAGCAAGGACTGAGAAAGGGAGGAATACCTCTTCCCTCTAGGAGCACAACCTGAAAGTTGTCTATATGGCTTCTCACACCCCATTGACCACGCTAACAGCAACTAGTTGTACGGGAGACTGGGAAACATAGACTTTATTCTGGAAAGCTCTGTACGCAACCATGTGAAAAAGGACAAAAGCTAGAAGATAATTGGCAATCTCTGTAGGGGAGAAAGACAACCATCTGATCTTTTTCTTCCTTTTTGTTTTTCAGATTTAAGAAAAAGATCCCCGAGTAATGCAAATGCAGGAACATTTGAACATTCCAGGGTAAAGGATCTGTCCCAGCATGTCTGCCTACTACAGGAATAACGGGTATGAGGAAGAACCAGATTACCCTGACTATTCACGGTCCCAGAACCACACGCAGGGCAACTGGAAAACTCGGGATTATCCAGATTCTCTTGGTCCTCTGAACAACTCAGATTACTCCAAAAGCAGGAGGAACCCATACTCTGAAGACTCCAGAAGAAATCCAGACTATCCCAGGTCTCTAGCAGAACCGGATTATCCTGGGTCTTTGAGTCATCCAGATTATTCTGGCACCAGAAACAGTCCATACTCTGTAGGCTCCAGAAGAAATCCAGACTATCCCAGGCCTCTAGCAGAACCAGATTATCGCGGGTCTCGGAGTAATTCGGACTACCCTGGCACCAGGAGCAATCCGTACTCTGCAGGCTCCAGAAGTTCAGACTATCCCACATCTCTGGCAGAGCGAGATTATCTTGGATCTTGGAGCAATCCATACCATCCAGACTCATTCAAAGAGCCAGACTACCCTGAATCTCAACGAAATCCAGGTTCCAGAAGCAGTGGAAACTCTGCGGGCTCCAGAACAAACCCTGACTATCTTGGCTCTTTGGGGGAACCAGACTACCCTGGAGCTCAGGGAAACAGTAACTATCCTGGCCCCAGAGCCCATTCAAATCATCCAGGCTCCAGCAGGAATCAAGAATATGCTGGTTCCAGAATCAAACCACACATAGATACTCTGGGAAAGCCTGATTATCCAGGCACTGAGGATCAACCTTACTCTCCAAATTTTTTAGGGAAACCAGATTATTCTGGTGCTGAGGACTATCGAAACTCTCCAGATTTTTGGGGGGAGCCTGATTACCCAAATGCTGAGGATGGCTGTGATTATGGCTCTTCCAAGACTCCAGAAACAACCAGGGAGTAAGTGCATTCATCTTCTTCCACTGGGGGGTCAGGGTTCAGTCGATGAAACTTTGTTGGCATTGTTTGGGTTAGGGACATGTATGGCAGTTTGTGTGACCTGAAGTTGTGGTGAAACATTCATATCTATCTGTAGATTTCATCTGGGCCCTCAACTATCAGCCTGGACATATCTTTCCTCACCTCTTGCCTGGATAACATCTTCCTCAGTCTCCAGTTGGTATCTAATCCCTGTGAAACATTTAGATTCCCACTGTTTTGACCTGCTACTTTACAGGTCAAAACTTGATAGGTTAAGTCTTGAGAGTTATAAACCCAAACATTTTAACCAGAAGTATATCAACAGGAATGCATTGTAATAAGAAAAGCTTTTTGAAGATCTAACTCCTTGAACAAACTTTAATTCTTCAATTGGTTATCTTTGTGGCAGAGCCATAAAAAATTTTTTTATCTTCTATCAATTTCTGGTCATTGACAAATTTTATTAGGTGCAGTTCTGGACATTACAGTGCTAGTCTGGGTGACTTGGTTCTACCAAATCTAATTTTTCCTGGGTTAAATTTTTTTTCTTTATTGATATTAGAGAGAGAGAGGAAGGGAGAGAGAGAGATGGAAACATCGATGAGAGAGAACATCGATTGGCCGCCTCCTGCATGCCCCACACTGAGGATCAGGCCCATAACCTGGGCATGTGCCCTGATTGGGAATCGAACCTGTGATCTCTTGGTGCATGGGTCGATGCTCAACCACTGAGCCACACCAGCTGCACGTGAGTTAAGTTTTGTTTGTTTGTTTTTATTAATTTGTTTTTGTTACAGATGTTTCTCATTTTCCCCCTATTGAAACCCTCCTCCCCTTCCCCTGCACCACATCCCCAACTTTGTTGTCTATGTTCATTGGTCATGTATATATGCATGTAAGTTCTGTGGTTTATCTCTTCTCCCACAAACCCCACCTCCTCTGAGGCTTGTCAGCCTGTACCCCACCTCCATGTCTCTGGGTTAATTTTGTTCAGCAGTTTGTTTAGTTCATTATATTCCACAAATAAGTGAGATCATATGATATTTGTCTTTCTCTGTTTGGTTTGTTTCACTTAGCATAATACTCTCCAGGTCCTTCCATGCCATCTCAAAGGTTAAGAGATCTTTCTTACAGCTGCATAGTATTCCATTGTGTATATGTACCACAGCTTTTGAATCCACTCATCTACTGATGGACACTTGGGTTGTTTCCAGATCTTAGCTATTGTAAATAGTGCTGCTATGAACATAGGGGTACATATATTCTTTCTGATTGGTGTTTCAGGTTTCTTAGGGTATATTCCTAGAAGTGGGATCACTGGGTCAAATGGAAATTTAATTTTTAACTTTTTGAGGTAACACCATAGTGTTTTCCACAGTGGCTGCCCCAGTCTGCATTCCCACCAGCAGTGTACTAGAGTCCCCTTTTCTCCACACCCTCACCATCACTTGTTGTTTGATGATTTGTTGATGGCGGCCATTCTGACAGGTGTGAGGTGATACCTCATAGTTGTTTAAATTTGCAACTCTCTGTTGATTAGTGATGTTGAGCATTTCTTCATATGTCTCTTGGCCATTTGTATGTCTTTTTTGGAGAGGTGTCTATTTAGTTACTCTGCCCATTTTTAAATTGGGTTCTTTGTCTTCCTTTGGTTGAGTTGTATGAGCACTCTATATATTTTGGAAATTAGCCCCTTATCTGATGCATTATTGGCAATTATGGTCTCCCATACAGTGGGATCCCTTTCTGTTTTGATGGTTGTTTCTTTTGTTGTGCAGAAGCTTTTGAGTTTGATGTAGTCCCATGTGTTCATTTTTTCCTTTGTTTCTCTTGCCTCAGCTGTTGTATCAGTGAAATTCTGCTGCGCATGATGTCTGAGATTTTGTTGCCTACATTTTCTTCTAGAATTTTTATGGATTCACAGGTTACATTTAAGTCTTTTATCCATTTTGAGTTTATTCTTGTATATGGTATAAGTTGGTGTTCTAGCTTCATTTTTTTGCAGGTAGCTGTCCAATTTTCTCAACACCATTTATTGAAGAGATTGTCTTGGCTCCACTGTATGCTCTTGCCACCTTTGTCAAATATTAATTGAGCATATTGTCTTGGGTCAATTTCTGGGTTCTCTGTTCTGTTCCATTGATCTATCTGCCTGTTCTTGTGCCAGTACCAGGCTGTTTTGATTACAGAGGCTTTGTAGTATAACCTGATATCCAGTATTGTGATTCCTCCTACTTTGTTCTTCTTTTTCAAGATTGCTGTGGCTATTCGAGGTCTTTTTTGATTCGATATAAACTTTTGGAGTGTTTGTTCTAGTTCTGTGAAGTATGTCATTGGTATTTTGATGGGGATTGCATTGATTCTATAGATTGCTTTGGGTATTATAGACATTTTAATGATGTTAATTCTTCCAATCCATGAACAAGGTATGTGCTTCCACTTTTTTATATCTTTCTCTATTTCCTTTTTCAATGTCCTGTAGTTTTCTGCAAAAAGGTCCTTTACTTCTTTGGTTCAGTGTGAGTTAAGTTTTTCAATGTCATGTTGCCAACAAGATGTGACTCTTTTTTTTTTTTTTTTTTTATCCTCACCCAAGGACATTTTTCCATATTTTGTTCAGATAGAGTGGGAGGGAAAGAGAGGAAGAGAGAGAGAGAGAGAGAAACATTGATGTGAAAGGGACACATCGAGTGACTGCCTCCCACAAGACCCAACCAGGGCCGGGGACAAACTGCAACCAAGGTACATGCCCTTAGCGGGAACTGAACCTGGGTCTCTCTGGACCGCAGGCCGATGCTCTAACCACTGAGCCAAACCGGCCAGGGCAAGATGTGACTCTTTAGTAAGGATTAAAAAAAAAATCTATAAGAAGCCCTAGCTGGTATGGCTCAGTTGGTTGTAGTGTTATCCTGTACATCAAAATGTTGTGATTTGATTCTGGTCAGGGCACATTCCTAGGTTGCAGGTTCCATCCCTAGTAAGGGCATGTACAGGAGGCAAGCAATTGATGTTTCTCACATTGATGTTTCTCTCTCCTTCTCAAAAAAAATCAATAAAAACATATCCTCAAGTGAGGATTTAAAAAAAAAAAAATTGGAAACAAATTTTACTATGTAAAATTTTAACAATACATGCCTCATTTTGCATGTAATGTTTCAACTAGTAATATTTATGAAATCAACAAGAACTAATGGCTTGTATTTATCTCAAGGAACAAGGGTTTAGAATTTGGGAGTGTAGCAGGGTCAAAATGTCTTCAAGTCCTGAATAGTAGGATTAATAGGACCAGGTCAAAATGTCCTCCTTGGTCTTGTCCCCCCTGCTTGATTGATCATTATAAAATATACTCTGAGCCTGTCACTCCTTTACTTCTTCTCTTCCATGAATCCCTATAACCTCTGGGAGAAAGGCCACACCAGTGAGAACATTAAAAATGAGAATGTGCCCTGGCAGGTTTGGCTCAGCATTTAGAGCATCGGTCCACAGACCAAAGAGTCCCAGGTTTGATTCTGGCCAGGGGCACGTACCTCACTTGTAGTTCATCCCCGGCCCCGGTTGGGGTCGTGTGTGTGTCAACCTATCAGTGCGTCTCTGTCACATCGATGTTTCTCTCTCTTCCTTCCTCTCTCCCTCCTGCTCTATCTGAAGATAAATGAAAAAAAATATCCTGGGATGAGGATTAAGAAAAAAAAGAGAGAGGATACACTGGGCTAATTGTAAGATGCCAGCCTAAGACCAGCCTGACTTGATCTTCTTTCTCTTCTCCTCTCTCTTCTCTACCTTAACCTTATATTCGAGGTCAGTGGTTCTTGACCTTGGCTGATTCTGAGAATTACCTGATCACTTGGGGAACTTTAAAAACAAGGCAGATGATTGGGCCCAACTTTCAGGGCTTCTGATTTAATTGTCTGTGTGAGGCCTGGGAATTGGTGTATACATAAAATTGAGAACCATTGTTAATTGATTTTCATACTATTCCCTTTATATATTCTGCAGTTGCTGGTCTCACACCTTTATTTATGTTGTTCTTCACCCTAGGAATGCCTTCCTCTTAACTCTTTATGTATGAATTTGTCCTTCCAGTCCCAGCTTGAATATAGATTCCCCCCCCCCCCCCACACCTCAAAGTCCCAACCAGAATTATCCTCTCCTTCCTCTAAACTACTTGGGCCTGTTTTCTAATACTCATCAATTGATACTTGTATTATAGTTGCTTATGGTTGTTTCTAAGAATCTCTACCAGATTGTATTGGGAGTTCCTTGAGGATAGACACCCCATGTCTTTATTTTTGAGTCCTCACTCTCCAGCCCATGCCTAACACATGGTTAGCATTCAGTTGGCACTTGTGGATGGATGGATGGATGGATGGATGAATGGATGGATGGATGGATGACTGTCCTTATGTGCTACTGGATGGATACTGATCCACCATTTTGGGATTTCAGGGTGCTCAGCAGAACATCTTCAATCCAGCCCTCATTTCATCATGGGGCTGTTGGCCCCTTGGGCTTGCCTGTGAGAGAGAATGAAGATTACCATGAAAGCATTGAAATGAAGTCTGTGGAGATGGCAAATCCATATGGCCACTCTGGCCATGGTTATGGTAAGCATTGATTAAGATGAGGATCATATCCTGGGAAGAAAGTAAAGTTCCATGAACTTAAGGCAGTAATCATTACAGATTTACAGTAATAGAAGAGTTGGTTTATTCCTCCCCACTCAAACACCCACCTTACAAGGATTGAGAGCTCAATGCCTACAGAAGAAGCAGTACCATCAATTATCAGAACAGGCCAGGGAGGGGTTGTGTGTCTGAGAAGTGGCCAAGATTTAGGTTCGATGCATTGAAATTACGCAGAAATGTGGGTTCAGTGTGGCCAGGTCCTCAGATTTTTCTAAAGAAGAATCTGCTGTGTGTAAAGATTCAGCTCTAGGAGGCAAAGGAAATTCTACCAGTTCTCCAGACCGCAGGCCAACACTCTAACCGCTGAGCCAAACCGGCCAGGGCTCTACCAGTTCTCATCTTGTCGGAGGAAAGGGGAACTTGATACTGGTAGAAGAAGCCAGTTCACTATACAGAAGTCAATGTTATAGAAATGTAGAGCATTTTATAAGGACCAGAAACACAAGGACCAGAAAAGGGAGACAGTGGTCAGCCAAGAACAGAACGAGGGACCCAAGTGCTGGCTGGAGCAGAGGGAGGATTGCTCAGCCCTGAAAGGGCAGATGGGGAAGAGTTTGAAGCAGGCAGATGGGATGCATTACCGTGTACTAGTGAAGAACACTGACTGTTACACATTTACATAGAAAACATTCATTTGGGCTATTCCCAACCTTACGCCATGCCTTATGAATGGGGCAAAAATCAATCTCACAGGATGAAAGTTTGTTTTTTTTTAAATATGCCTTTTATTGCTATTTTAGAAGAAAGGGAGAGAGAGAAAGATGGAAACACCAATGTGAGAGAGAAACATCGATTGGCTGCCTCTTGCACACCCCCTACTAGGGATCGAGCCCTAAACCTGGGCATGTGCCCTGACCGGGAATTGAACCGGGAATCCACGGGACAATACTCAGTCCACTGAGCCACACTGGTCTGGCTGAAAATTTATTTTTAAAAGGCCAGAAGAGATCTTCCTCTTTTTTATATATGTAAAGCATATATACGCATACTGTACATGAACAGGTACAGTCTAATATACAATCTATCTGTGGTATTAACATTTCATCAATTATCAGAACAGACCAGAGAGGGGTTGTGTGTCTGAGAAGTGGCCAACATTTAGGTTCGATGCATTGAAGTTACGCAGAAATGTGGGTTCAGTGTGGCCAGATCCTCAGATTTTTCTAAAGAAGCAAGAAATCTGTGTTTTTATGTGAAACCCCCTGATTTTTACATGGGGGAGGGCAATGAGGAAGAAATGTCTAAAAAGACACCTTATGGGCCAATAATGAAAAGAAGATATTATTTCTGTTTTAGAGGCTAAGATATTGAAGCTCAGAGCGGTTAAGTCATGTGCCCAAGGGTATAGCACACAGCTAATAAGTAGCAAACCTGGAATTGATTGTCAGCAAGAAGTTCCAGAACCTCCTTCAGTATGATTTTGTGTACGTCCCCACCAAAGTGTGCTCCAGTTTCTCTGCTGAGGAGTTGAGCCTTTAATGTTTACCACAGGTTGAATAAAAATACAGTGAAATGTGACATTGTTGTGCAGATGCCAAGATTGGACTCTCTTTTTTTTTTTTTTTGTATCCTCATCCGAGGACATTTTTTCTTTTTTTGTTCAGATAGAGTGGGAGGGAGAGAGAGGAAGAGAGAAACATTGATGTGAAAGGGACACATCGAATGGCTGCCACTCGCACGACCCAACCAGGGCCGGGGACAAACTGCAACCGAGGTACATGCCCCTAGCGGGAACCAAACCCGGGTCTCTCCAGACCGCAGGCCGACACTCTAACCACTGAGCCAAACCGGCCAGGGCTGGACTCTGTTCTTAAGAAAACCATGTCATATTTGAAGTTCATTTATGCACCATTATAAAATGCTAGGAAGGAACCTCTGTAATCATCTAGATAAAATTTTTTTGCTTAATTTTTTAAAATATTAGGACTAGGACTATTTTTTTAGGTTCACAGTAGAATTGAGGGGAAGGTAACAGAAATTTCTCATATATCCCCAGCCCCAACATATATAGCCTCCCTGTTAACAAGATCCCCTCCAGAGTGATACATTTGTCACAATCAATGGACCTACGTTGCCACACCATCCTCACCTAAAGTCCATAGTTTACATCAGCGTTCACTCTTGGTGCTATACATTCTATGTATTTGGACAAATGCATAATGACATTTATCCATCGTTACGGTATCATACAGAATATTTTCACTACCCTAAAACCCCTTGGTGCTATACCTATTCATCCCTCTCTCCTAGACAGTATTTTTCAAACCCATTAATAAGTTATGAAATTAAAAGGTTTTAAATGAAATGGAAAAGAATAAGAATATATCAGAGTGTTACAAAGTATTATTTTGTGAAACTTTCCAAATTATACATGTGTAGGTATGTCCTGGATCTCAGTATAACAATTATTTTTAACTCTGGCTTGTAGTCATGAAAACCATCGATCAAGGCTGTTTGTATTTAACACTACTGTTTTTGTATCTATGTCCCATTTTTACCCCAGCATTTAATCATTAGTCTATTAGCATGACAAGGTCAAGGTCTCAGTCTTACTTGCTGACCATGATGCATTCTATAATATCTAGTGTGGTGGGATTAATGGTGATGTCTCCTGCTTCTTCATTCCAGTGAACCCTACTTATGTGGCTGAAAGTAACCTCCACCCATCTTATGGAAACCCACCCTCTGGAGATGATTGGTACAAGTCACCCCAAGGTAAGGCTTAAATGGACATTGAGCAAAAATTCAATGCTGGAGGATGAACGTTCGAGCAATGCAGACATTGCCGTTTCTCCTTAGCCCCTGGTGTGGTAATAAGCAATACTTCTAAGTGTATCATAATGGGCTTCCTTTCAGACATGCAGGATTATTTCTCTTCTGGATATCAAGGTGGCTTCATTCAAACTCTTCTGGTTGCAAGTGACAGAAGCCCAAGTCACACTGGCCCAAAGGAATTTATTGGCTTGTGCGTGGGGAAGGATATGGGGGACACAAAGAATTAAAGGCAGAATTACCTTCCGGCACCTGTGCAGTGCCTGGCACATGGCTGATGCTCAGTGATATTTGTTGAATGAGTTACAGGAACCAGGGTCTTTGTGTCAGAAGCCAGGGGTTAGTGCCACCTGTACTCTCTTTGCTCCATCTGTTTCTCACCTGTGCTTGACTCAGCTTCTCTTTAAGCTTCGCCTCAGAGCAGGCCTTCTCCACAGGCCAGGGAGCATGACCGGCAGCAGGCCCGGATACACACCCTCAGCTCAGCAACCTCTCTAGAAAGTCTTTCTTTCTCCCTGGGCCTGTTAGTCAATGCTGAGGAAAGACTCTGTCCAGTACACTTTGGGGCCACATGCCTAAACACGGACTGATTATTTTTCTCATAGGAAAGAAGACTGGGTCCCATGTTTATCCTGTGGTTAATATATCTGTTGGTGAGGTGGCCGTGCATGGATCCTTTTTTTTTTTTTATCCTCACCCGAGGACATTTTTCCATTTTTTGTTCAGATAGAGTGGGAGGGAGAGAGAGGAAAAGAGAGAGAGAGAAACATCAATGTGAAAGGGACACATCGAGTGGCTGCCACCCACACAACCAACCAGGGCCGGGGACAAACTGCAATCGAGGTACGTGCCCTTGGCGGGAACCGAACCCAGGTCTTTCTGGACCGCAGGCAGATGCTCTAACCACTGAGCAAAACCGGCCAGGGCCATTTTTTTTTTTTTAATCATCATATAATTACTAATGATGGTAGAATGTAGAAGCAGCTGGACTAGTGGAAGACAGAAGACTTTGAATTCAGTCAGGACGCTCTATAATGACCATAGTGTGCTGCAGTGACGGTCTGATCAGGGGTAGAGACTAAGTAATAAAAAGGAAGCAACAGAGAAGAGAGCCCAGAGAATGCTGAAACCTAGAGGCAAACATGTGAACAAGAAAAAATCCATGACATCCTCTACATAACAGAGCAAATGGAAGAGCCCCATGACTTAAAACTACAGCATCTCTCAGGCCTCCAGCTTATAGGATAAAACTTAGCCTCATTCTTAAGAGCCTTCTCCAGGAGGCACGCATGTTCCACAAGGGTTAGCCACTGCTGATTGGGAGGGAAAACCATGGGGACATAAACAATCTCCATGTGGTGCCCACTGGAGCAGGAAATGGCTTTAACTATTGGGGCAAAGAAATGTCCTTGAACTTCATCAGACCACTCTATCTAGCCAGCATGAGGTTGGGGGCCTCTGATAAAAGAGGAGTCCCCAGAAAGCAGAGAGAAGTAAAGAAATGGAGGACCGAAAGATGAACTTGGCTTTCTTCACCATCTTGCTTTGAGTTGGTTCTGACTCTCAAGCCATGTACATACAATTACATAAAGGGTCACTTTGATGGACTGTGCTATGCACCTAAGGGAGCACCTGGACATAGTAGGTGCATATAAATATTCATTCTTTTATGAATGAATGAGTGACATATCAACCTCTTGTAACCGGGAGGGGCCAGGGTGAAGTGACTGAGAGGTCCTCTTTGGGGCCAGAGCTGGGATTGATCTGCTACTTCCTTGTGACCTCAGTGCTCTTGTGACCTCAGTGTCCTTGGCTATGAAATAGGAGTATTGTAGTACTTATAGGGTAATGATGAAAAGGAAATGACATACTCTATTCAAAGTATTTGTCCTGTCATAATGGCAGGTATTGTTACTGTTAGTTATTGTGGGGGGAGAGGGGGAGTAGAGTTCTAGTCCAATCCTGCCATTTAATGAGTTTGATGAGGAGAGGGTCAGTTCATTTCTCTGCACCTCAGTTTCTCCAATTATTAAATAAACAGCTTGGCTGAGGTGATTTCCAAATCGGGTCAGTGGGGCCCTGGCCGGTTTGGCTCAGTGGTTAGAGCGTCGGCCTGCGGTCCTGAGAGACCCGGGTTCGGTTCCCGCTAGGGGTGCGTACCTCGGTTGCAGTTTGTCCCCGGCCCTGGTCGGTTGTGCGGGTGGCAGCCACTCGATGTGTTCCTTTCACATCGATGTTTCTCTCTCTCTCTCTGTTCCTCTCTCTCCCTCCCACTCTACCTGAACAAAAAATGGAAAAATGTCCTCGGGTGAGGATAAAAAAAAAAAAAAATCGGGTCAGTGGGATAGGAATTGTGTTCAGGTGCCGGGCACTGAAATAGGATGGTGGCTTAGCAACAAAGGGATCTATTGGCTCCTTCCATAGCTTCTTTCTCCGCCATCCTTAGCAGGTGAATGTTTGTCTGCTGGTTTTTTAAATGACAGCATCTAGTCTGGAAGAATGAGAACAGCAAAGGGTGAAACCAGGCAAATTGTCACCTTTTATAGGGCATTTTCAGAAGCCACAAGTCTCATTGGCCAAAATGAGGTCTCGGGTCCACCCTTAGCCACAAAGGAAGCTGGGAGAATATTGACTGAGCACATTCCCTGCGCAGGAAAGGAGCGTGGATACTGGGAGGCAGACAAGTACCAGGGTTGGCCACCCAAGGAGCGATCGTTTCACTATAAACCCATCTGGATTTATATAGGCATATGAAATTATGAATATAAAATATAAGTTTTAGGCCAGAGGCATCAAATTGAACAGAAAATATGGCCTTTTGATTATGAGTCATTTAGAAGACTCTCTGCCTTCTGTTTCTAGAATCCTGTTGTCTTTAGTGAAGGATTCTGTTCCTGGTTTCTTACCTACCTACCGAGACGGAACTCTCTTCAAGAAAACACACCTCTTCCTAGGAGACACCTCTAGTGTAGATGTGGGGAGTTATGTTGTGATTTGTGTGGGGCTGCCTTTGGCAATCTCCTCCTGACATCTTAAAAAATGTGAATGACGCATCCCTCCGTGATGTTAACACTTTCTCTGGTGGTTCTTGTCAATGCCGGTGTGACAGCTGCATGAGGTCTGTGGAAGGCCATCCCAGTGCAGAATTAGGCTTGGAGGAGGCAAGAGATGCTGTCTGATGACCAAGTGAATGAAATCATCGTTGATGTTGAGAATGTCCCATCTGGGGTCCAAGGCCATCTATCCTCAAATCTGAGTGTTCCAGCAAAGTCGCTGGTGAACTTGAGCTTTGGCATGGCCTCTTCCACGTCTGACATCGATGTGACAGATGCTCAGGTTTTCAGCCACCGGAATGAAAAAAAGGCCAAACAGTTGTTACAGTTTTCAGCACCTTTGAATGAATCATTTTCTCAGACCTGTTATAGCCCAGACTGTGTGGACATGGACACGCCTTGTACTTCACATGAAAACATTCAAGGTAGTAAGATGCTGGGACAAAGGAACAAAAGACAGCCTCCAAGTGATCCCCAGGGTTTTTTAGTTTTAAGACATCAAGTTAGTTGAAGGTTTGGTAGATGACCTGAGGATGCTAAGGACCAAGGAAGAGGTCACTTTGAGAGCATCTAACACCTAAGAAGGAATTGACCCTGATCAAGCTGATTTCGTGTGCCTGGCTCTCTGCTGAGCACTTCCTTTTTGTTATCCATCAAATTTAGTTTTATTTTTTTCCCCATACTCCACACCTTTATAAGACAGGCACACTTGTCATTTCCATCTGCTTGATGAGGAAACTGAGGCTCAGGGAATTTAAGCCATCTGGCAGATCTGGGACCTAAACGCAGGTCTACCTGATTCCCAAGCCCGATACGTTAACCGCCATCTTGTTCTGCGTTGGTCCAGTTCCTTAACCTGGATTCAGCAACATAGGAGGCCTCACATTGCCAAGTCCCCCATGAAACCAGGTCTCAGCTGAGACCTCCCTGCCGTTTCACTCCAAAGGTCAAACACTATTTGGTCTTTTAGATGCTGTTTCTGTTCCATTCCATAATACTCCAGGCATAAAGTCCAGCCTCTCTCGATGATTTCTAAGAGGAAAAAAAAAAAAAAATACACTCTCACCAACACATTTTTCAATATGGCCCCTTAAATGAAGATTTGGGCATCTCCTGTCTTGTTACTGTCTCCTCGAATTTGTTTTTTTTTTTCCCTCCTCCCTCCTTCTCCTTGCCTTATCTCTGAGAAAGAGACACAAATTCCTCTTCTTCAGCCAAGTGGTTTGGTGGCCCTGTCCTATGGACTCTTATTCCACCTCAGTTACAGAAGGTCACTAAAATGAGAGGTTCTGGCACAACAGCTTGACCAGGGAGCCAGCCCGCTCCCTCGGCTGTGGCCCCGACCAGCCCCCGCTGGTGTCCTCACTGTCACGGATGGTGGCAGCACTTCCAGGAATCACACGTGGACGCAACACCTCCAGAAGAAGGAGCTGTCTTTTCCTTGTGTTTTGAGTTTTGCTTTTTCAAGAAAGAAACCTTTGCCAAGAAGCTCCTCCGCAGACCACCCTTCACAGAACATTGGCCAACATCTCATCACACGCCTGTGCCTAAATCGGTCACCTGCAAGGGGACGGGACCTTCAGGATTGGCTTGGACTCATCAGGACCTGTCCCCTGCGTCTGGAGATGGGCCCCACCCTGCAAAAGCTCAGGGCCATGGGAGAGAGGGGGTATATTTCTCCTTTTTTTTTTTTTTTTTTTATCCTCACCCGAGGATATTTTTCCATTTTTTGTACAGATAGAGTGGGAGGGAGAGAGAGGAAGGGAGAGAGAGAGAGAAACATCGACGTGAAGGGACACATCGAGTGGCTGCCACCCGCACGACCAACCAGGGCCGGGGACAAACTGCAACCGAAGTACGTGCCCTTAGCGGGAACCGAACCCGGGTCTCTCCGGACCGCAGGCCGACGCTCCAACCGCTGAGCCAAACCGGCCAGGGCGTGAGAGGGGGTATATTTCTAAACAAAAGCGGAATTCTATGAAAAAGGAGAGATGGCATTGGGGTAGGCCACCAACGGTATCTGCCACACTGACCCAAGATGTGATTATGAGTTATTGGGCAAAGAGGTGGGGAAGCCATTCCAGGCGGAATAGCATCTGACAACAGTCAGGCACTGCGAGAAGATGCTTGGGCCTGGAGACCGGGGGCGAGAGAAGTAAAGCAGGGTGTTAAAATGAGGGATATTAATGCGCAGGATGTTGTCATGAAAAAGGAAAACACTGAATTGGAATTGTGTGCACAATGTAGTTTTCTTTGGCTTTGAGGTTTAACACAGATTCATGGCGTCCTCTTGTTTTTGTGACCTTTGGGATCACTGAGTCCATACATTCTTCTTTCCTTGTGTCCTTATAAAAACTTGCTCTAATTTCAGCACCATATTTTAAAATGCCATTATTCTGTTAAAGGGGAAAAAATTCAACTCCATTTATTTTCTTCCACAGAACAAAAGTTAATTGCCTCTCTGATACCCATGGCATCTAGAGAGAGAATTAAAGCCATCAGGAATCAGCCGAGGACTATGGAAGAGAAAAGGAACCTTAGGTATGAACCAAAAGCTTTTCTTCTTTCCCAAATTCACACCAATCTGAATCTTCTACTTTTGCCCCATCTCAGAAAGACAATAAATAAACAAATGCAAGAGAAGAGACCATCTTCCTACAGAAAATCCCACAGAATCTCTTATTGCCCAGAGTGTGGGCCGTGTGTCCTTAGTGACCAGCGTCCAAAGAGTAGAGTGCGGATGGAAGTAGGGACGGACGAGGTGATCAAGGTTGACATCCTCAGAGAGAAGTCATGTGATCAGAAGGACATATCCCCTTTGTGGCACTCTCTCTTAAAACCTGTAACCCGCCCTGGCCGGTTTGGCTCAGCGTGTTAGAGCGTCAGCCTGCGGTCCAGAGAGACCCAGGTTTGGTTCCCGCTAAGGGCACGTACCTCGGTTGCAGTTTGTCCCTGGCCCCGGTTGGGTTGTGCAGGAGGCAGCCACTCGATGTGTCCCTTTCATGTCGATATTTCTCTCTCTGTCTTCCTCTCTCTCCCCCCCACTCTATCTGAACAAAAAAGTAAAAATGAAAAAATGTCCTCGGGTAAGGATAAAAAAAAAACCCTGTAACCCTAATCTACCCAGAGAAAAAAGTCAGGCAATCCCCAATGTGAGAGACATTCTACAAAATACCCAACTAGTACTCTTCAAAAGTGTAAGGTCATCATAAATGAGGAAAGTCTGAGAAACTGTTACAGACTCGAGGATCCTAAAGAGACATGACAACTAACTGCAATGTGGATGGGATCCTGGAATAGAAAATTCCAGCCATCTCGGTCTCCTTGGGGCTTTGAGTGTCCCTAGGCATGGGACAGTCCTTATCCATGTGATGAAACCCTCCCCCTGTCAAGACTTCACTCAGACGTCGTGCTATTTCACATTGTAACACGGTCCCCACCCTAGAATTTCCCATCTCCTCACCCTGCTCTCTTTTCCTTTCTCTTCCCCTTAGTACAAATCACCTTCTAATATGCTGTATAGTTTACACATTTTATTAATATATTTATTGTTTACTCTCTTTCTCTTCCAACTAGGATGTCAGCTTCACAAGGCAGGGACATCTGTCCCCGGTTTTTTTGTTTGTTTGTTTTTACTTGTTTTGGGGTTTAATGTAGTAGTGATTCATGTTATTTATTTTGAAATCGGTCTCTTTATCTCCACCTGGAACTGTGCGTGGCATGTAGCAGGTGCTCAGTGAATATTTTGGGACTGAATGCATCCCAGCATCTGTCTCTCTCACTTTCTTCTGCCGTCCCCCACAGGAAACTGGTTGACAAGGAGAAGAGTAAGCAGTCCCGTCATATCTTTGAGCTCAGCTGTTGCACTCACTGTGTGAACTCCATTTCACTGGTAAGTCAGCCTTCACTGCAGTCACAAACATGAGCACAAGTGCGTGAAAACAGGGAGGGGAGAAGTGGGGGGTGAAAGGAGACCCATGGGGAAGAGGAACCAACTTTAGGGCTGTTTCAGTGAAAACCAAAAAATTGGGTCAGTGTAGGTGTGGGGAAACCAGGTGGGTGTGCAAAGATCTGAGTTATTTGGGCAATGTAGCCACTGTGAGAGTCGCCTTCAATAGCAAACCTGGGAAAACAATAATGCCCTCACTTAGGGGTGGCCCTACAATTAAATGAGAGGACATTTGCAAATGCCTAGTGAGGTGCCTGGCACGTGGTAATGCTCTAGAAACAGTGTCCATTTTCACTATTGTGGGACCTGCTCAGGAGATATTTGTTGCGGGAATGTCAAGCCTTGTCCTAACCCCAGGCATATCGGAGATCCAAGAACATCCTGTCGGAGCTGCTCAGTTCCATCAGCCTGTGGCAGAAGACGTTCAAGGTCATCGGAGGCAAGTTTGGAACCAGCGTCCTGTCCTACTTCAACTTTCTGAGGTGGCTTTTGAAGTTCAACATTTTCTCATTCATTGTGACCTTCAGCTTCATCATAATCCCTCAGTTTACCGTGGCCGGAAGGAACACTCTCCAATTCACAGGACTGGAATTTTTCACTGGGGCGGTAAGTTCTCCATGTCACCTTTTCCTGGGAGTCAATTGATGGGGCAAGTGGGTGTTTAAATAACATTTTTCTTTTTTTACCCCAAAGAAACATATTCCTAACATAGTAGACCTTCTGTCTCCAGAGGTAACAGTTTGCATTATACAAATGCCTCCTTGTCCCTTTTTAAACAAAAGATGAATTAGTCATATATATAGCCTATGACTTGCTTTCTTCACCTAATTTGTGGTGGATGTCTCATGTAGGTGTTCATAGATCTACCTTTCCTTCTTTGTTGTTTTTTTTTTCTACAAAATATAATGCTTCTTTTGAAAAATTCTTACTACAGAGGAGAACAAACGAAGAGAAGTCTTCTTCCCTTGTCTAATTCCCCGGTTCAAAGGGTATCTTTGTCTACTGTTTCACTTCCATACAAGCATAGAGACATACGTAGGTAGGTAGGTAGGTAGGTAGGTAGGTAGGTAGGTAGACAGAGAGAGACTTTTATTTAATAAAAAGAGGATAGGATACTATAGGTTTTATTTTGCAACATTTTTGCTTTACTGTGTGCCTTAGATATCTATATAGGTCCACATTGTTGTATTTAATAGCAACCACAATTTATTTACCTAGCTCTTTATTGAAGCACATAGCCCCTACCTTGTGAGTTCGTCTTCTGGGAAAGATCTCTGCCACTGAGATTCTGTAGACCAGGGATGGACAAACTACAGCCCAAATCTGGCCGGCCATCTGTTTGTACAGTCTGCGAACCAAGATTGGTTTCTACATTTTTAAATGCTTGAAAAATATCGAAAGAAGGACAATATTTTGAGAAGCATGAAAATCATATGAAATTCATATTTCAGTATCCATAAGTTCTTTCGAAACACGGCCTCACTCCTTTGTTTGCCTGTCTCTGCTGCTTTTCTGCTATGTCGGCAGAGGTGAGATATTGCTGTCGCTGTTGTATAGGCCTGCCATTTACTATCTAGCCCTTTACAGAAAAGGTTTGCTGCCCTGGCCGATGTGGTTGGAGTGTTGCCCCATAAACTGAAAGGTTGTGGCTTCGCTTCCAGTCAGGGCACATACCCAGATTGTGAGTTCAATCCCCAGTCAGGAGGCAACTGATCGATATTTCACTCTCACATTGATGTTTTTTTTCTCTCTCTCTCCTTCTTCCTTCCTCACTCTCCAAAATCAATAAAAAGCATGTCCTTGGGTGAGGATTAAAAAAGAAAAAAGTTTGCCCTGGCTGGTTTCACTCAGAGGTTAGAGCATCGGCCTGCAGTCCAGAGAGACCCAGGTTCGGTTCCCGCTAAGGGCACCTACCTCGGTTGTAGTTTGTCCCCGGTCCTGGTTGGTTCGTGCGGGTGGCAGCCACTTGATGTGTCTCTTTCACGTCGCTGTTTCTCTCTCTCTCTTCCTCTCTCTCCCTCCCACTCTATCTGAATAAAAAAAATGAAAAAGTGTCCTCGAATAAGGATAAAAAATAAAAAAAAAGTTTGCTGACTCTTGCAATGGAATGTTCAAAGTAAGATCTTGCTATTTGTCTTTTTTTTCTTCGTTTTTCTGTTAATTTTTTTTCCTTGGGATAGATACATTTAAATGGAATTATTGTGTCATTTTTTCTCATTACTATGTATATTTTGTGTATCTGTATAAATGAAACATTTTATTATAAAAATTTTCAAAAATACAGAAAAATAAAAAGCAGTATGATAAACATTCACATACACACTATGTAAATGTAAAATTGTTAACATTTTGCCATATTTGTTGTATCTTGTTATTTTGGAAGGCACTTTGCAGGAGATCACAGACATCAGGACGTTTCGCTGAATTCCTTCAAGGTGCATCCTGCTTTCAGTCATGCTTCGCTGGGTCCCTGGGTCCTGGTGGTCCTAGCTGGGTCCCTCTATTGTAAAGCTATGCTGATTTGGGGTAAAATGACTAGGTTCTCAGTTGCCTTGGATGCTCCTTTCCTTGCAAACAAAACACCGAAATTGACTGGCCCGAGCTTCGAGAAGACAAAAGAGGTCAACAGTCATCCATCATTTTCTCAAGAGACCCACCTGACCTAGGGTTTATTGTCTCTTTCAGGGTTATTTTAGTGACACGGTGATGTACTATGGCTTTTACACCAATTCTACGATCCAGCATGGGAGCGGTGGCGCATCCTACGACATGCAGCTGGCCTACATCTTCACCATCGCAGCCTGTTTGATCATCTGCTTTTTCAGTTTGCTCTTCAGGTATGAAGTGTCTGCATTTCCCGACTCTAAGCTCTTTTTAGATTTAGGCAAAATTCAAGTGACTCAAAGTTACCCAGGAAATAGTTTCTCTGTAATTGGTCTGATCATTCCTTGTCCTGCAACATGAAATATGAGTTCGGACAGAGGAGGGAGGTTTTTGTGTTCTTTGAAAGAAATTGGTTAATCTGATCACAAAGTTTCAATGACACAAGTAGTTATATGATCAAACAGACAGGATGGACGACTGTCAAATGATAATTGTCAAGAAGGAAGTATAGATGTTCAACCTCTGTATTAGTTTGCTGGGTCTGGGGGGCTTAAGCAACAGGAGGCTGGAGGTCCAGGATCAGGGTGTTGGCAGCGTTGACTTCTTCCGAGGCCTCTGTCCTTGGCTTGTAGGTGTGTAGGTGGCCGTCTTCTCTGTGTCCTCACATGGTCTTCCCTCTGTCCATGTCTGAATCCTAATTTCCTCTTCTTATAAGGATATCAGTCATATTGGATTAGGACCCACCCTTAATGACCTCATTTTAACTTAATTACATCTGTAAAGGTCCCATCTCCAAATATAGTTGGCATCTGAGGTACTGGGTGTTAGAACCTCAACGTATGAAATTTGGGAGGGACACAATTCAGCCCATAATGACCTCATGGTAAGCATGATAATGCAAAATAAAATGAGGTGTTTTTGTTTGTTTGTTTGTTTGTTTGTTTGTTTTGTCCTATCAAACTAGGAAATGCTTTCTAAGCTGCTGTTACTCAGTGGTGGCACATTTTGGAAAGGGAGTTTCCATTTTATTCAGTATTTATTTATCCTGAGCCTGATTTCATTGAGTCCTCCTGACAACTCCATGATAATAACAGCTGTCTTTACTGAGTAATTGCTCTAAGCATTATATTGATTCTTGTGGTCGGCCTCTCTCCTCCCAAAGATGCCCACATTCTAATCCCCTGAACCTGTGGATATGTTGCCTTACCTAACAAAAGGGACTTTGCAGATGTGGTTAAGTATCTTAAAATGGGAAAATTACCCTGGATTATCCAGATTAGACCAGTGTAATCACAAGTGTTTTTTGTTTTTAATTTTCTTTTTCTTTACTGAATTTAGAGAGAGAGGAAGTAAGGAGAGAGAAACAGAAACATCGATGAGAGAGAACATTGATTGGCTGCCTCCTGCATGCCCCCCACTGGGGATCAGGCCTACAACCTGAGCAGGTGTCCTGACCGGGAATCAAACCAGTGGCCTCTTGGTGCATGGGTTGATGCTCATGCCATTCTGAGCCATTCTGGTTGGACTCACAAGTGTTCTTAGAAGTGGAAGGCAAGAGGGTCAAAGTCAGAGAGTGTAAGATGTTACTCTGCTGGCTTTGAAGATGGAGGAAGGGGCCACAAGTCAATGAATGCAGGCAGCTTCTAGAAGCTGGAAAAGGCAAGGAAACAGATTCTCCACTAGAGCCTCCAGGAATACAGCCCTACTGACACCTTGATTTTTAGATCCATTTCTGATGTTTGACTTCTAGTAAGAGAATAAATTTGTGTTGTTTTAAGCCACTAAGTTTTGGGCAATTTGTTAGGCCGCAATAAGAAACTAACACACCTCTCATAATAACTCTGAGGTAAGTACTATTATTATCCCCATTATATAGATGTGGAAACTGAGGCTTAGAGCAGTTAAAAATGACTGAGATCAGCCCTGGCCGGTTTTGCTCAGTGGTTAGAGCATCGGCCTGTGGACCAAAGAGTCCTGGATTTGATTCTGGTCAAGGGCATGTACCTCGGTTGTGGTCGTGCAGGTGGCAACCAATGGATGTGTCTCTCTTATATCGATGTCTCTCTCTCTCTCTCCTCCTCCTCCCACTCTGTCTGAAGATAAATGTAAAAATAACCTGAGGTGAGGATTAAAAAAAAAAAATGGCCCTGGCTGGTTTGGCTCAGTGGTAGAGCGTCAGCCTGTGGTTCAGAGAGACCCGGGTTCGGTTCCCCCTAGGGGCATGTACCTCGGTTGTAGTCTGTCCCCGGCCCTGGTTGGGTTGTGCGGGTGGCAACCACTCGATGTGTCCCTTTCACATTGATGTTTCTCTCTCTCTCCCTCCCTACTCTATCTGAACAAAAAATGGAAAAATATCCTCGGGTGAGGATAAAAAATAATAATAATAATAATAATAAATATGACTGAAATCACCCAGCTGGCAATTTAGGAGTGTAAGTCAGGCCTGGCAGATCCCAAAGCCAGAGCATTGTGATCACACAGAAGAACTTGGAGCTGACTCTTCCATGTTACCTTTCCCTGTTAAAGATAGGACTTTGTTGTCCAGCGGCTGAGCGTCAACCCATGCACCAAGAGGTCACCGGTTTGATTCCCGGTCAGGACACATGCCTAGATTGTGGGCCTGATCCCAGTGCGGGGTATGCAGGAGGCAGCCAATCGATGTTCTCTTTCTTCAAGGTTTCTATCTCTTTCTCCCTCTAAAATCAATAAAGGAAAAAATAAAATAAAAAAGATAGGACTTTGTTTTAATCCATGCACTCCTCAATGCTTGTCCTAATAACCCTTGGGAATTTTGGTTTCTGCTTTCTCCAGCATGGCCAGGTATTTCCGGAACAACTTCATTAACCCCCACATTTACTCCAGAGGGATCACTAAACTTGTTTTCTGCTGGGACTTCACCATCACTCACGAAAGAGCTGTGAAGCTAAAACAGAAGAACCTTAGCACTGAGTTAAGGGTAAGGCACACCTGCTTTTTACACCTTCCTCAGACAGTCTCCTCTCCTTTGGTATGTTTGTAACTTGTCTTAAAGTAATAATGAATTGTTTCCGTATTTCCCATGAGATTGGCAAAAAAAGAAAACACCCCCAAAACACAAAAAAATATTCCTAATGCCAGGTGCTTGTGATGATGTAGGGAAATGGACATTTTCACATGACTCGGTGGTTTTGTAATTGATACAAGCTTACTGGAGGGCAGTTGGACACTTTACAAAATGCTCAGTGCAAATACTTCTTGACCTCATAGTTCCAGGTTTAAAATTTTTTCCAGTGGTTTTCAACCCAGGACAGTTTTGCCCTTCAGGGAATATATGGCAATGTCTGGAGACTTGTTTGGTTGTTACCCAATTAGGGAGGAGGTGCGATTGGCACCTGGTGGGTGGGTGCAGCTAAACACCCTGCAAGGCACAGGACAGCTGCCTCAGCACAGAACCACCTGGCCCCAAATGCATAAACCAAGGGATTTTGTCAAGAGGATTGCAGATGTTAACTTTTTATTCTTCAAGAGTTTTGTGACCTCCATGTCCTTTCCTCAGAAGCACGTTCTCAATCTGCTGGTCCTATCTGTTCCTCTAAGATAAAGAAGGCATTTGGTGCAGTGATGGGGGTCCTTGCCCCTTTGAGATTTTCCCATCGGGTCTCCCATAATCCATGTTCATCATGAACTTTCCCTCTCTCTCACCTGTGGATCTGGGGTGGATTTGTGTCTCTGGGAGTGAAGAGTATTCACTTGGGCAGGGGGAGGGGTCTGTGGGCCAATGTGACTTTCTTGTATTCGTAGGAGAACCTGTCAGAAATCCGTCAGGAGAATGTCAGGTTAACGCTCAATCAGCAGCTGACCCGCTTGTCTATCCACCTGGCAGCCTGGGTGGTCTCTACTGGAGTGGCCACCACCTGCTGTGTCGCTGTTTATTACCTGGCTGTGAACAACTCAGAGGTAACCAGAGTGCCAGAGCACAGAGAACCAGGTGAAGGGGTGGGGTGCTGGAGGGGAGAGTGAAGTAGACCCTGCTACTCAAACTGGGTCCATCAGCATCAGCTGGAAATGTGTTTAAACACGCAGGAGCTCTTGCCCTGGCCGGTTTGCCTCAGCGGTTAGAGCATCAGCCCGTGGACCAAAGAGTCTCAGGTTCGGTTCTGGTCAAGGGCACGTACCTCAGTTGTGGTTCAGTGCCTGGCCCTGGTCAGAGTCGTGCAGGAGGCAACCAATCGGTGTGTCTCTCTCACATCGATGTTTCTTTCCCTCCCTCCCACTCTATCTGAAAATCAGTGGGAAAAATATTCTCAGGTGAGGATTAAAAAAAAAAAAGGCAGAATTTCAGGTCCCTCCTGTAGCCCCATGGACTCAGAATCGCATCTTAACAACGTCCCCAGGTGATGTGTGTGCGTGGCTTAGTGAGATGCTCTGGGCTAGTGGAGAGAGGTGAACTTTGGCTGCAGAGCTGGGATCAGTTCTGGTTTCTTCATTTATTATTATATCCTTGATGCGTCCCACAGCCGCTGGCACGATGTAGACGCTCACTAAGTGTTGTGATCTAATGGACAGCAAATGATTTAATCCTTCTGAGCCCCAGCTTCCTCAGCTGTGAAATAGGAATGATCATGCTTGGTTTTGTAGGTGTGTGGTCAGGACTGAAGAAAAGTTATGTGGAGAGGCTGCCCAGTGTCCGGTACTGGGGGTGATGAAAGAATGCTAGTTTTGTTTTGTTTTGTTTTATTTTTTTTCTTTATTGATTTGAGAGAGAGAAGGAGAGAGAAGGAGAGAGAGATAGAAACATCGATGAGAAAGAACATTGACTGGCTGCCTCCTGCATGCCCCCCACTGGGGATTTGGCCCACAACCTGGGCATGTGGTGTGTCCTCACCAGGAATCAAACAGGAGACCTCTTGGTGTATGGGTTGATGCTCAACCACTAAGCCACACCAGCCGGGCAGTTTTGTTTTGTTTTGTTTTTAAGTGATATGAACTCTGAGATGAATTAGCTGTGTGGCCTGGGTAAAGTACTGTTTTTCTGTAGATTTTAGCTTTCTCCTCTGGGGCTAAATGTAGCCCATTTGCCAACCTCTAGAATAGTGGTACAGGTTGGTCACTTTTTTAAATGGCTTTCATTACCCTCAATATGAAATCTATCCTCTGTGAAGTACTTGATAGATCTATTATGATCTGACCCTGCCTACATCTCTAGCATCAGCACCCCACCCATATTGCACACCAGCAACAATAAATGGTGTGTCCATAGTTCCCTGAACACACCATGCTTTCCCTCATCTCTAAATGGGAAACATACAGTCCATTCTATGCACCCCCCTCACTTCCCTCCATCTTGTAAGCTCCTCTTTTTCCTCCTCTAGACATCAGCATGGGTGTCACTTCCTCCAGAAGCCTTCTCTCACCGCCGCCGCCACCACCCTCACTAGGCTGAGTTGGGTGCTTCTTAATCTGCAGGCTTTCCCTGTGCACGTGTCACACACAGCATTGAAAATATCTGTTTATGCCCCTGTTTCTTCAAAAGACTATAGCTAGAACCCTGGTCTAATACCTAGTACATAGTAGGTGCTCAACAAATGGATGAATAAGTGAGGGAGAAGCCAGCAAGAATATGGATGTGGAATTACACAACTCTACGGGTTTGCCATTAAATACACAAATATATATTTTTTTCTTTATTGATTTTAAAGAGAGAGGAAGGGAGAGAGACAGAAACATTGATAAGAGAACATCGATTGGCCGCCTCCTACGTGCCCCCCACTGGGGATTTTGGCCCACAACCTGGGCATGTGCCCTGACCAGGAATGAAACCGTCGACCTCTTGGTGCCTGGGTCGATGCTCAACCACTGAGCCACACCGGCCAAGCTGCCATTAACTATATTAAGGTGGGCTTTGAAAGAGGGGAAGTTGAGTCACAGTCCTCAGGGGCCTGGCAAGGCCTAGCTAGGGTAGAATCTGTGACAAGGCAGCTATAAAGAAGGCTTCTGAGTTTCTTCTTCACCGGAGGCGTCTCCGTGCCCACCTGAGGTGACGGAGGCAGCAGGGCAGGAGAGAAGTGGAAGTGGCATCATTCCCACTGTTTGAACACCTGCTCTGTGCCAGGCAGGCTCAGCCCTCTCCATAACTCTAGGGGTCAGATTTATTGGAAACTACAATTTCATGTGAATAGAGCCCGAGCTGTGTCATTTAGGGGTCAGACATGCCTTACTGGTCTCATTTAGTCCTTGCAATGTCTCTATAGGTTACGTGACAATCTCCCTATTATACAGATGAGGGAAAAGAGGTTCAGTGAAGCTATTTATCTGGCCCTGGACCTTGACGTTTATAAATATGGGGGAGGGGATGGAACTTGTTACACTGGCTCCCAAGATACTGCCCAAAATTTGAGTGGTGCTTTCAAAACCACCCAGAGGTAGATGGAGGCCTTGGGGTGAGGAAGGGGGATTTGAGACATCAGATAATCCACAGAATCCTTTACTCCAAGGATGTCTGGCAGAGGGGCAGCTCAGGCTCCGCTCCGAGCCGAACGCCAGGGTGTTGTGTCCATGCGAAGGAAGGGGTGCCTCTCCCCACCTCACACAAAGGTGTGGCACGGGCTAGCAGAGACTCCCTGTCCTCTAATTCAGCACGCAAGGACGGGCGAAGCCTGGTGACAATGAACGAGGCTACGCAGGAGCGGGGGGGAAATATTCCACAGGGATGGAAGCCCCTGTGCTGGAGCTCAGTAGGCTCAAGCTTTTGCTCCAACAGCCAAGGAGCGCATTCTCATTCCATTGCAAGAAAATCACAGAATGGCTTTTTGAGGTCAGGCTTCTGAGTCAGATAGACCCGGGTTCAAATCTGTCACTTCCTAGCTGGGTGATGCTGGGCAAGCATCTTCACTTCTCTGAGTCTCGGTTTGCCCGGCAGTTAAGTCAGACTTAGCCTGCTGGGCTGCAGTGAGGATGAATGCTACCTTGTGGGTAATGAATGCTTGGCACAGGGTAACCAGCAACTTCATAGTTAACCCCAGAGGAACTACTTCTGGGTTTTTTCCATGATGGGAGGTCCTCTGAGCAAGACAGAGAGGGGTCCAGTGCACCGTTGGCAACCAGATTCTCCCCCCTCCAACCCCCGCAGTTCCTGCAGAGCCACAGGAACCCTGGCTCGGTGCTGTTACTGCCCTTCGTTGTGTCCTGCATCAACCTGGCGGTGCCTCGCTTCTACTCCATGTTCAGCCTGGTGGAGCACTATGAGATACCCAGGCAGGAAGTTTACGTCCTCCTGATCCGGTAGGTGTGTCTGTCATTCCCAACGCCAGCCTCCATTTTCACGGAGGGAAGTGGAGTGGGAGCCAGAAAGGGTTATGCTCAAGTTTTCCAGAAAGAATTTCAAAAGTATGGTGTGTTTGTATGGTGTTGGTTAATAGCCATAAAAGCCAAAGAGCCCAGAGAAAATACAGGTTTTGAGTTACATCTGCCTTTTGTTCAAAATAATCGCTTTTCCTTCCCAGTTGCTACCAGCTTAAGGATTAACATTGTTCTCAGTTGTAAGATGTACAGATGGGAAGGTTGTACATTGCACAAAGGTTCCTGGCTGAGTCGTTGTCTGGGGACTGAAATCATCTATTTGAGTCAAACTGTGAGCCCTGGTACCCACTGCATCAGCTGGGACGAAGAGGCACATTTTTATAATTTAACCACACAAATGAAGGTGGAGGGAGCGCTTTTGGCAATTCATTGGTTGGGGGTAGGGGGTGCCTTATTTTGATCCCCACAAAAGCACTGTATATGCTACAGGTGACCCCAGGGTTTTGATAAACAAGGTATAAAACTACCCAAATTGTGTTCTCATTGCTGCTTGGCTAGTTCCCTGACAGGTTCTTTGCTGTGATGGTGTTTGTAACAATAGGGCTGTACAATGCAGGCTGAGTTTCTTTACTGATCATCAGTTCCAGAGCCCTCGCCTCCTCATGACCTTCACAGTCAGGCTCCTGGCCAGCTCTCCAACCTCGTTTCCTACGCTTCTCCCCCTTCCCCAGCCTCGCTGGCAACCTATTTACTCACAAACATGCCAAGCTGCATATCCATGTCTGGCTTTGTTACTGGCCCTTCCTTCTTCCTGGAATGCTCCTTCCACAGATAGCAAATATATACTTACATCAATGTTTCTAGTTTCTTCCTACAGCACTTACATATTTTAGTTACCCTCAAATGTATAACAAGGATATTTTTAAACACACACACACACACACACACACACACGTATATATGTCTATGTTTCAGATCAGGAGTTAGCAAACCACAAACTACAGCTGGCAGGCCAGGCTCCTGTTTATATAAATAAAGTTTTATTGGAACACAGCCATGTCCATTTGTTGACATATTGTCCACAGCTACTTTCCACTACAACAGCAGAATAGAGTAGTTGCTATACAGACTATATGGCCATAGAGCCAAAAACATATACTATCGGGTCTTCACAGAACAAAGTTCATTGACCCCTCTTTTAAGACAGTGTTTAGAGTTAATCCATATATGTATTATTCTCCTGAAGAAAAATCTTAGCGAGTCCTCACTTCTACCCACCTCACCCCACTAGATGCCTCTCTCTGTGCTTAGAAACAATTGGATTTTTTCTTTTTTACTGGGGTAGAAATAATAAATTTTGCCATTTTAACCATTTTTAGGTGCACAGTTCAGTGGCACATTAAGTAATGTGTGGGTTTTTGGGTTTTTTTAGCATATGCATTAATAATAAGTTCCACTGGCTTCTTTGCTCACTAGTGTTGACTTAATGTATCCTACTTACAACCTCCTCTGTTTATCTTATAAGGAGAGAAATTATTTTAGAGTCAGTCTAGGGATGGTCAACTTTCTAAGTACTTCCATGTTCTAACATACCTGTATTTTGCCTTTCTATTTGCATGTGGGTTTGGATGAGCCAAAGACTCTGTATTCTAACTAACCTCTTCTGGAGTCTACAGGTGTTGCTCTGAGTTTTCTGACATCCAGTGTGATACTCACCCAGCTGCTCTTTCCAGAACCTTTGTATTGGCTTTCTCTAAGCTCCAAGCATTCCCAGAACTACAGCCACCTCTGAGGCAGTCCTCTGCCAAATTTGTTTTAAGCTGGAGTTTTCTCCAGTCTTATTTCTCCATCAACCCCCTTTCTTCTTTTTGCCTTTTTACCCTTTACTTCTGCTTTCTATATTCTACACATTTCTCTACATCTCTGGTCTGTTCATGATGACTTTGCTTGTTCTTCATTGCTTTATGAATCTTTTAGCTTCTAACTTTTCTCTCATTTCAATAAAACTGGGATGAACATGTGGTGGACATATGTACTCAGTATGCCACTTTGATCTGAGGCCTTTGCTATTTAATTTGCACTTTTCTGATCACTAGAGAGGTTGTCTCTTCATATACATTAGCCATTTGTATTGCTTCACAAAACATTGGACAGCTCTTCCACATGAAGAGAAAATGGGAAAGCTCAGAAATACACAATCTTTCTGTCTCTGATAAACTTTTCTAAGCTAAAGGGTATAACTTAGGAAGACCCAGTTGGAAGAGGTACACGGGGCAAGGTGTGGGGAAAGGACGCGGAGCTTCCATGCCCTCTCGGGCTCATCATTCTCCCAGCAACTCAGCGTGTTAGCCAGTCCAGAAGCTCTCCAAACCCTCTTCTTTGGGGTTTTTATGGAGCTTCATTACATAGGCGTGATTTATTAAATTACTGGCCCTTAGCCATTGATCCAACGTCCAGCCTCTCTCCCCTCCCCAGAGGTCAAGGAAGTGAGGCTGAAAGTTCCAATCTTCTAAGTGCTTCCAAAAGTCCCTCCTTAGCAGAACAAAAGACACTTTTATTGCTTTCCTCACTTAAAAATCCCATAGTTTTTAGGAGCTGGGGGTCAAAGACCAAATATGTATTTCTTATAACTCACAATATCACAGTGTACTAAGGTATTAATCTGGTAGATATTAGGGTCATAGTAGGGCTTGGCAACAGGCAAGAAGTTGGGGATCTGGCATTTAAAAAGATAGATTCAATTTCCTTCCTTGACAGTGGTGTCCAGCACAATGGCTTTCAACCTTTGGCATGCACCAGAGACTGCTAGGCCCCACTCCCAGAGTTTCTGATCCATAGGTCTGGGGTGGGGCCTAAACATTTGTCCTTCTAACAAGTTTACAGATGATGTTGATGATGCTGGTCTGAGGACTGAACTTTGAGAACTATTGGTCTAGTGACACATAATTCCTGGCACACTAATCCTGACACCCTATTAAAATCAACAGGTATTGATTGACTTAAATACTGAGTTTAAAAACTGAGGCTGTGAAATCAGACGATCCTCAGTTTGAATCTTTGTCATCCCCTAGCAAGCTGGGTGACCTTGGGCAAGTTATTTCATGACTCTGAGCTTCAGTTCCCTCATTGGTAAGACAGGCATAAAATGCTATCTTATTTGATGAAAGAGTTGTAAAGATCCAAAAGGTTGATTTAATAAAGTGCTTTGCACAGTGTACTGTCTGTGGTAGCACCCAAGGAATAGGAGCTATTATAATGAGAAGTGAAATCAGATAATTTTGAGATACACCAAAAGAGGGTATATCAGTCAGATAAATGAGGTTATGCTGCAGTAACAAACATCTCCCCTTACCCAAATCTCAGTGGCTCAAAACACAAGGTTTATTTCTTGCTTATGCTACATGTCCATCATCGATGGGCAGAGGTATTTTGCTCATGTTAGTCATGCATGGATCCAGGCTGAGAGAGCAGCAATCATCTCAAATATTGCTGATGACCATTCCAGAGGGAAGACAGTAGGTTCAGGGTGGGATGGAGGGTGGGGGTGTCTTACTGACTTTTTAATGCTCCAGCCTAGAAGTGACACACATCACTTTTGCTCAGAACTCATTTGCCAGAACTGGCTGTATGGCCCCACTCAACCACAAGGGGACAGGAATTTCCATCCTACTTTGTGCCCAAAAGGAAATATTGGTGAACAGCACTAATGACTGCCACAGACAGTAATGATAGTTGTTTTCTTTTCTGTTATTCAGAAACATCGTTTTGAAAATATCAATCATTGGAATTCTTTGTTACTATTGGCTCAGCATTGTGGCCCTGGCTGGTGAAGAGGTGAGATTTCCATAATGCTCTGCCTTAACTTCAGTTTCTTAGCCTTTGACCACCCAGGAGGAAGTGAGTTTCTCAAGAGTTTCTGATTATTATATTAAAGCAAATAATCATGTTATTCTTCTGTCCATTCATTTATTCATTACTCCATCCATCCATCCATCCATCCATCCATCCATCCATCCATCCATCCATCCATCTGCCCACCCATCCTGGGGCCATGATCCAAAACTTTCCTTTCCTCATTCAGCCAAATCTAAAAGCTCTCCCTCCATCCATCAGCTCATTGTACTAACTTCCTGCAGGGCTAACTGACTGCCAGTTTCATAAATTGACTAATCCAACCTTCACTTCTAGGCTACTTTCTTAATGGAGCAGATATTGACTTTTCATAAGGATAATAAGCAAAAGGAATGGTAGTATTATTAGCCATTGATGCCTCATGAAGAAACTGATTAGGCCTGGCTGAGAAATGGGATCCAGAGGGCATAGGACAGAAATGACAAGTGTTTAAAGGAGAGAGGGTGAGAAGGGAAATTTTGGTTGCATGTGGAGGCAAGCCTTAATGGAGGAAGAAACATCACAGAAAAGGAATAAACACCCTGGAAACAAACTTGGCCTAATGATGCATTTCTGCCAAGAGTGGGTTTGCTTTTTGGGCACTTAAGAACTCTGTCAGACTGAACCACCAGCCGTGCCTTCATGAGTACAGGGTACCAGGAACTGATAGAAATTAAGCGAAGTCAACAGTCCCTTCCCGCAGCCTTCTTGTTTGCCTTGCAGTGTTGGGAAACCCTCATTGGTCAGGATATCTACCGGCTCCTTCTGATGGATTTTGTGTTCTCCTTAGCTGATTCCTTCCTGGGAGAGTTCCTGAGGAGGTAAATATTTGTCTGCCTTGAATGATTAGTACCTAGGGTTGTAACTGGAGCCATTTCTTAACTGAGCAGGAAGTATGGGTCCCTCATGTTCTCTAAGAGTGCATTGTTCTCAATCTGCCTATTGTCCTCTGGGATATTGTTTTCTTCTGAATTAACTGAAGTTTCACCTTGACCTGACAGTCCCATTGCCAAAGTTCTTTTGCTTCAGTTGGCCCTTAACAACCTTCTCTTTAAAAAAAAGAAAAAAGTTTCTAGAATGAAACACAAACACTGAGAGCCAGTTGAGATCTTACTCACCATAGATAATTTTTATATTCTGTGTATCCTTCCAGATTTTTCTATGCACATACTGCTGTGTGTGTGTGTGTGTGTGTGTGTGTATACTATATAATTATCAAAGACAAAAATGGGGTCACACTGCAAAATTGTTGTGGAGTTTGCTCTTATTAATCTAATCATCTTTCCATGCCAGTGCATATAGATTTATCTCATAATTCATTTCATTGACTTTAGTTAATATACTCATTTTTATTTTAGAACCCATATGTACAGAACTGAGGCAGTGTCATTGTCAGCCCACATGTAGTCTTCCTTCCTTCCTTCCTTCCTTCCTTCCTTCCTTCCTTCCTTCCTTCCTTCCTTCCTTCCCTCCCTCCCTCCTTTCTCTCTCTTTCTTTCTTTCTTTCTTTCTTTCTTTCTTTCTTTCTTTCTTTCTTTCTTTCTTTCTTTCTTCTCTCTCTCCCTCCCTCCTTTTTCTTTCTTTCTTTCTTTCTTTCTTTCTTTCTTTCTTTCTTTCTTTTTCTTTCTTTCTTTCTTTTTCCTCCTTCCTTCCTTCCTTCCTTTTCTTTCTTTCTTTCTTTCTTTCTTTCTTTCTTTCTTTCTTTCTTTCTTTCTTCCTTTCTTCCTTCCTTCTTTCCTTCCTTCCTTTTCTTTCTTTCTTTCTTTCTTTCTTTCTTTCTTTCTTTCTTTCTTCCTTTCTTCCTTCCTTCTTTCCTTCCTTTTCTTTCTTTCTTTCTTTCTTTCTTTCTTTCTTTCTTTCTTTCTTTCTTTCTTTCTAATAATATGATGAGCATCTCATTCCTATAGACATTTACATATCTCTGCAAGCTGCCGCAGTGGTGAGACAGCATGATACAATGCTGATTCTTCCCTCAGTGGGTAGGTTGAATGACCAAATTTCTCAGTCTGCCCAAACTCACTTTTAGTCCAGCTTCTGTTTGAGATGTAAAGGTGAGAAGTTTTGGGGTGTTCTTTTTTTACAGCAGTTTGTATTGACAACTCTTCTGTATAAAGCAATAAAGGTGGTCTCAAGTTTCTTCAGAATAAATGGGGACCTTGGTTTCTTCCTTGTGGATTTGGAAACAGGAAAACACCATTAATTCAACAGCAGTAACCAAAAATTGAAAAAATGTTCAATTTATTTGGGTTGGGAGAGACTGAGTTTATTTGGTCATGAAAAAAAGGGCTTAATAAGCCAACGGTTGTGTAAACAAGATAATAGGTGGGATCATTTCAATAAAAAGGTAACGAATGTAATGTTCCCTAGAATTTTTTGAACCACTTTCGCGGGACCCACCCATCCCCATTTGAATGCATTGTGTCAATTCGGTTTTCCCTCAATTCCCTCGATTATTTCTTCCATAACATGCTTATACTTGGAGCTTTTCAAAAATTTGAAAGGAAACTTATGACTTTATTCCAAACTGGTGAGGGTCTCACTTGTTGATTGTGGGGACTCTTTTGAAGGAAGGAGTTGATGGTTTGGGTGCTAAGCTCAGTATGTTTTCACAGAATCATTGGGATGCAATTTATCACAAGCCTTGGCTTACAGGAGTTTGACATCGCCAGGAACGTCCTAGAACTGATCTACGCACAAACGCTGGTGTGGTAAGTTTTGAGCATCTCCGGTGTGCCCAGTGTTCCTGACTCAGAGTTTGGTGAAGAGTCCCAGAATCTGATGTTAAGGCTGCATGTGGGTACCAAATCCAGACAGTCTGAGAACCAAGGACTTATGTCCCTTTTCCTTTTCCTTTATGAGGACTTCAGGCGAGAAGCAAAGGAGAGCAGGAATCCCAACCTGGAGGCCCTCACGTCATATCTAGCCTGCGGGAGTATTTTGCTGGCCTCACAAAGGGCTTTTTCTAAACATTTGAATAAGCCACTAGTATTTTAAAATCAGGAGAATTTACATATAATTTATAATGTTTGGCTTCTCTCCAAAAAAGGAAAGATGTGGACCATCTCCCATTATGGTAACAATTGGCTGGGTTTTGAGCTGGGCTGAGCACTTCCAGTTTGTCATAGTCACCATGGCGAACTCTTCTTCTGACATAGATTTGCCACTCCTTGTTGCTTTGTTCAGCAACCTTGGTACTGTACTTGAGTTCTGGCTAAGAAAAATTCAGAGCCAAGACTCAAATACAAGCTAAAGTTTATTTAGAAAGTCACAGAGGTAAAAAAAAAAAAAAAAAAAAGTGAGCCAGCTGGGCTGTGTGGGCTCAGAAAAGTTACAGAGGCAAAAGAAGGGCCCTTAGAATTTAGGAGAAAGCAAGCAAGGATATACACACCTCAGGGAAGAAGAGGGTGTTCTAGAGACAGCCTTTCAGGGTCCTCCTCTGTCCTAGGGGCTTTTAAGGGGAGGTCCCAGGAGAGTATCTCAATAGAATATTCATCAGCTTTCCAGGTGTATCCTTTCAGGGTCTCGGTCTCCACTGAATTGTCAGCACCAGGGCAGGGGTCTTTAGTCATAGCATTTCCTCCTGATGTCAGCCATGGCCTCGCTGTGCCCGGCCTCGCTGCTTTTCTAGGCCTGGACTTAAACACAGCTGAGGCATAGATGTCATCTCTAGGCCTTAGTGCTTCAGGGAGTGGTGGTGCAGGGCTTGTATGAGGCTATTCTCCAGCCGCTTGTTCCTTCTCTAAGGGGCTCTACCATGTGGCTAGTGAGATGAAAGGTCAGAGGGTCTAAACCTCAAGACTAGTGATATGAAAGGGGAGGAAAAGTCACCCCGGAGGCAAGGTCCCACCCTACAATTGTCCGTTGCTGGGCCCCTGGGGCTTTCCACCCTAGTGACCTTCAGCACCTGTCCTATCCTTCCTACCCTGCTCATGGCTGTCTGCCTACTACAATAACAGTACTGACTTCACAGGTTTAGGTGAGGATTCAAAGAGAAACGCGTACTAAGTGCTTAGTGAGTACCTGACTCAGAAATGTTTTATAAGTAGGGGGAAAGTTAGAATCAGAGATTGCCATTATTTCTTCTGGGCCTTTAAGGTTTTTGTTAATAAATCATAAATAAGCACAGTTGAAAACACACATATCTTTTCCTTTCTCAGTGGCAATTATAGACTTAACCTCTGTAGGGTTTAGGAGAATATTACCTTTGAGGATGCACTTTAAAAAAAGATGGGGAGCATTTTCTCAGTCTGTTGAGATTTTGCTTCCAGCAATTGTCAGTTTGGCTCAAATAAACTCACAAAAAATCTTTTTAAAAAAAATATGTTTTTATTGATTTTTTAGGAGAGAGAAGAAGAGAAAGATAGAAACATCCATGTGAGAGAGACACGTGGATCAGCTAGCTGCCTCCTGCACGCCCCCTACTGAGGATCAAGCCCAAAACCCGGGCATGTGCCCTGACCAGGAATCAACAGAACTGGGATCTCCCAGCCATGGGACGATGCTCAATCCACTGAGCCACACCAGCCGGCCCATAAACATTCTTTAAAAAATAAAACTAAGAATAATAATAAGAGATAATATAATGACAGAAATTGAGTAATAATAGGGATGATGGTAGAGGTAAGGTGAGGAAAGTGTTTCCCAAACTTCAGTCTTTGGTACACCAGCCTGCCCATTATTGGCATATCCACACATCACCTGCACTGTTTTTCATTTAATATTATTTTTTAAAACATTTGCCTTTTTAAAGTGTAAATACACTTTTAAAGAAGTATTTGTTTTACAATTATAAATGGTAAACCAGGGTCATTTGACAGAAACTGCAAGTAACTTGAAAAATAAAATCAACCTCAACACAAGCAGTCATTCACTTCTAGCTCAATGCTGCTGTCCGCCGGGCTCTCAGCCTAAAGCCTGCTCCCTTTTCCAGCAAAATGGGACTTGGCAAGTGTTAGGAGTTAAAGAAATTCTAGCACCAAACTGAGCTTTCTTTTGAGCTCTGGAGCTGTCAGGAGGGTTGAAGAGGGAATGCTCTCTCCCTTAACTCAGTGTAGTTTCATGTCTGTCCCTGCAGGGCCTCAGACTTTCTGGAAGGCCGTGGGGGAGGGGGTACAAGTTCCACATCTGGGGCACCTAGGCTAGAGGCTCTCCCCTCGGACATCTGGTGGTTTGGTGGCTGTGTATTGGGATGGGGGCGGGGGTTCTCTGCAGAATCTCTTTTCCGGAGCTGGGAAGAGAACAGCTATGGACACTGGGTATGGTGGGAATTTGCCTGGTTGGTAGGGATAGAAGCAATCTCCTTCTGTGTTACTTTATTAGGCTGTCATAACAAAGAAATCCAGACCAGGGGGCTTAAACAGCACACATTTTTTTTCCTCACAGTTCTGGAGGCTGGAAGTCCAAGATCACAGTGTCCGCAGGGTTGGTTTCTTCGGAGGCCTTTCTCCTTGGCTCATGGAAGACTGTGTATTCACAAGGTCTCCCTGTGTCCTGTGTCCTAATCTCTTCTTTCAGAGGATTGGATTGGGACTCACTCTAGAGACCTCATTTTACCTTTATTGCCTCTTTAAAGGCCCTATCTCCAAATACAGTCAAATTCTGAAGTACTAGGGTTAGGACTTGAATGTATGGATTTTTGAGGGACACAACATAGCCCATAACACCCTTACCCTTTCCTCCACAACCCTGTGTCTCCCCTGATCTCTAACACTCACCCTGTCTCCCTCACAGGATTGGAACCTTCTTCTGCCCTCTGCTGCCCTTTATCCAAATGATTACTCTTTTCATCATGTTTTACGTCAAAAATGTAAGTCATCTGAAGTTGGAATTAATCCGCTTGACTCAGTCACATGTGACCCAGTGGTGGTTGGAACTGGGAGTGAGGGTGTGAAGAGCGGAGCTGGGAGGGCACCAGGAAGCCGGTGTCTGGCTGGGGTCCCTCCAGCCTGCGCACAGGTGACATGTGGCTATTTCTCCCTCTTCAGATCAGCCTGATGATGAATTTCCAGCCTCCAAGCAAAGCCTGGCGGGCCTCACAGATGATGACTTTCTTCATCTTCTTGCTCTTTTTCCCGTCCTTCACTGGGGTCCTGTGCACCCTGGCCACCACGATCTGGAGGTAGGAGATGGCAGCCTTGGGATGAGGTCTTAGAGCTGGGGTGGGCGGGTGTTTTAAAAGGTAGGTTTCATTATTATTCCGATGTGATGAGGCCAACAGATCAGGAGATGACCACTGAAAAGATAATTTGTTATACCCACAGATCCTCAAAAAAGGGGGCACACCACACCACAAAGGGTGGAGCGGGCACATGGGAAGGGACCAGTGTTCAGGAGGCAGAAGGAGCAATGGGAAAGGGTGGGCACGAGCCTTTGTTGTGGTTTCCATGGGGAAGGAATGGTGAGGCAGGGCGAGCAGATGGAGGACTTGGCTAGTGAATCATTCCAGCGGGCTCTGGGGCACTGGGTTGTCTGGAGTTGCCAGATACCTGGCCCTGGGGTGAATAGGGCAGGAGAATAGTGACCCAAGGTGTGAGAGCTTGATGGAGGAGCTGGGTGTGGGGTGCAGGCTTTGGATTGGTCGGTTTGCGTGTGAAAGACTCCCTTTGTAGGCTAGCCCTGGGAAGGGCAGTCTCTACAGGATCAGTAAGGCCCTAGATGCCAAAACATCAGAGTAAAGAGACACACTTAATGCAGTTTTTAATCCCAAATTCCCTTGCCAACCAAGACACTACAACTAATGTCTGAGCTAAGTGTCCACTCTCATGACTGGCACAGCTTCCTTACTTTCCCCAGAATGGGAAGACCGTCCCTTCACCTGGAGAACAGAACTGCATCCAAATGAACCCAAAGGCTCTGTCTGATCGGGCTCTCTCCTACCTCTCCAACTTCACCCCCATTGGCTCCATCTTCCGTTGGCCCCACAGCTCTTGCTCCATTGCTGAGACTCTGCGAGCCCCTCCCCACAGGGAACAGGGGGCTCTCTGTGAAGAGCTCTCCCCACTCCCTTTGCTTGGGGGCCCTCTTTCCTCCCTCTGGTTCTTGGTTCGAAAGTCATCTCCAAGGTCTGACCTTCACGACCATCTTTGTCTACTGTCAGCTCCACCTCTACTTTCTCTGGCCAGTTTCTTTTCTTCATCCCATAGCTCACAGTCAGAAATGCCTTTGTTTGAATCTTTAATTATTTACTCATTGGTTGCCCACCTTTCCCACTAGAACATAAATCTCAGAGGGCAGGTCCTATGTCTGTCTTGTTTACTATGGTTCTCCAGTGCTTAGTATCTAGCACAGTGCCTGGTACAAGTGCAATAAACCTTGAATGAATGAATGAATGAATGAATGAATGAATGAATGAATGAATGAAGAGTTCACTTTTAGGAGACATGTGGAACTGGAACCAATGGCAACTCAAGTGGCTTCAGGGCAGGCTACTGTGTTTCACGATGTCCTTGCTACTCTGTTTTGTGTCTCCTCCTAACCAGTTCCTTTTGCCCTCTAGTTTCTGCTTGTTCATAACAACTGACTGCACATGGCCATCACTTCCACCACTTAAGGTTCCATAGATTACAGGGTCCCCTCTTCATATTTCTTAATTCCCAAGGAGGAGAATCTGGTTGCCCCAATTCATTTCTTTGAGCCAGGGTACCACAGAAGCTACTGCCTGCTCTTTGGATTGACTACTGTTGGATCAGGTGATATTCCTGTCTGAGAGCTGGTCCTCAGAGTGTGGGTCATGAGTTCAAAATATACCAGCTGAGGCTGGAAGAAGGGGGGTTTTCTTTGGAAGGGGGGTGTGGGTAGAGCATGCAAGACTTGCTGGTTTCAGAACCCAGAAAGGACACCCTGATTGTAGAACAAACTAGACCAGAGCCTCACACTACAGATGTTCTTCTGTCCCTTGTTTTACCAGATTGAAACCATCAGCTGACTGTGGCCCATTTCGAGGGCTGCCCTTCTTCATTCACTCCATTTACAGCTGGATCGACACCCTGAGTAAAAGGCCCGGCTACCTGTGGGTGGTTTGGATCTACCGGAACCTCATCGGAAGTGTGCACTTCTTTTTCATCCTCACCCTTATTGTATTGTAAGTGGGGCACCTTTGGAAGCACTTTACTAACACAGCATGTGGGCAACCACAGGGTTGTTTGGTGGGAACGCAAAGGGCTACAGCACAGCTCGGTATTCTGGATGATCCTGAGTCTGCCCTTAAGGTTTTGGGGGTTTGTTGTTGTTGTTATTGTTAATCCTCACCCAAGGATACTTTTCCACTGATTTTTTTTTAGATAGAGTGGGAGGGAGGGGGAGAGAGAGAGAGAGAGAGAGAGAGAGAGAGAAAGAGAAAGAGAAAGAGAAACATCCATGTGAGAGAGACACATCAATCGGCTACCTCCTGCAGGACCCCAACTGGGGCCAGAGATTGAACCTGCAACCCAGGTACCTGTCCTTGGCAGGGAATCCAAACCTCAACCCTTCTGTCCTCGGGCTGATGTTCAAACTGCTGACCCAAACCAGCCAGAGCTGCCCTTAAGTTTTTTGGTTTTTTTAAAAATATTTAATATTATCTTAGGGGTTATTGTTTGTTTGTTATTGTTTGTTTTATGAAGAAAGCAATACCTGATCTCCCCCTAAGAGATAACATGAAAATAAATGGATATGAGAATGCTTAGGACAATAATAATATGTGTGATTCTTTCTTAGACTGTGACATATTAAAATGGATTGAGCATTATTGATACACAGGATAGTGTATTTTCATTTCCAAATAGAAAAAGATCAACTTCTGACTTCTTGTGAAAAAGTAGATCTGCCGAGACTGGGCCTGTGATCCTGCCTGAATACTTGGTTGGCTGAGTAATGGCTGGTCCCTCTTGGAAGCCCAGCCCTGATGGTGTTTGAGATTGCAGGTCCTCATGGAGAGAGACACCTACATGGCTCTCAGGCCCTCCCTCCCCAACACTAGGTTGCCATTGGCCTCCTTCATATGCACAGCTCTTCTAGTGTCTTGCTCCTTCAACCTTCTAATTCACTGGGAAGCTTGTAAGAAATGCAGAATTTCCAGCCCTCCCCCAGACCTGCAGAATCAGCACCTGCATTTTAACAAATTCCCAGGAAATTTGTATCACGTTGAAGTTTGAATAGCACTGTCCAGATTCGTAAATTCTCACTGCACATTAGAATCATGTACATTTTTAATACTGATGTCTGGCCCCACATCCAGAGAAGCTCAATTAATTGATCTGAGGAGGGGCCATGGCGTGAGTCTTTTTGCCATCAGGTGGGTCCATGTGCAGAATGGGGGCAGCCATTGCTATAAACATATTCAACCTGTAACTCAACCAGACACAACCTTTTCAGGAGCACATTTGGGCCAAAATCCATTTTCAAGCAAATATTCCAGTTCCTTTGCACCCAACTGTACTTCTGAGCCTGCAAAACACTGGCAAAAGCGTCTGCCATTCTTTCTTTTCTTCTCTTCCAGAATCATCACGTATCTTTACTGGCAGATCACAGAGGGAAGGAAGATTATGATCAGACTGCTCCATGAACAGATAATTAATGTAAGTTCTACTGGACCCATCTGTGTCCTCCCCAGCCTTTTAAAACATTTTATAATGGAAATGTTCAAACATATTCCAAAACAGAATTGTACAATAAACTACCACCTGCCCACCACCCACCCCGAATGCCATCAACAATTGTATATTCTTATTTCATATAGCCACTATATTTTCACTGTACGTCTCTGGGTTATTTTATTTTATTTATTCTTGTTTTTGGTACGTGCCCCTAGCGGGAACCAAACCTAGGACTCTCTGGTCCGCAGGCCGACACTCCAACTGCTGAGCCAAACTGGCCAGGGCTCTGGGTTATTTTAAAGAAAATCCTAGATGTTACACCATTTTATCTGTAAAAACTTCTGTATGCCTAAGATATACAGATTTTTTAAAATCTTTTTATTGATTTGCGGGGGAGAGAGAGAGAGAGAGAGACAGAAACGTTGTATGTGCCTCAACTGGGAATCGAACCCACACCTTTTGGGTAGGGGATGATGCTCCAACCAACAGAGCTATACTGGCCAGGGTGAGACATACAGATTGAAAAATAATAACCATGATACCAATCATTACACCTAAAAGAAAACTCAATAATTCCTTACTATCATTCAGTATCTAGTCAATGGTTAGATTTCTCCAACTGTCCCATTAAGTGTCTTTTTACAGTAGAGTTGCTCAAATCAGGATCTGAAAAAGTGCCACATTAACAGACTGACAGATCTCAGAGGCGAGGACGGAGGGGAGGACAGGAAGAGATCAACCAAAGAATATACATGTGTAGTCCATGGACATAGACAATAATGTGGTGAACGCCTAGGACAGGCAGGGTCAGGGTGGAGGGAGACCAAGGAGAGGGGGAAAATGAGGGACATCTGTAATAAAGTCAAGAATAAATTTTAAAAGAAAGAAAGAAAAAGTACCACATGTTGCATTGGGTTGGTATCTCAATCTATAACTGCTCACTCCTCCTCTCTTCTCCTGCCATTTATTGTTGAAGAAACCAGGTCCCACATTCTGGATAGATCTGATTTCCAACCTGTGGTGGTATTTGGCATGTTTCCTTTTACTTTCTATTTCCTGTAAACTGGTGGTGAGATGTAGAGACCTCCAGCCAGAATGCTTCCTAGATGATGCTCTGTACTTCTTATGGCATTTGAGATAGGAAAGGTGATTGTCTTTTCTTTGTGTGATGTTAAGAGTAATCAGTAGGTCCACGCTTTGTTAGCCTGACTAAAGTCAATACTAAATAAAAAGAAAGGGAAAAAAGCTTTGACATTCTCAGTGGGAGGACAGGACAGACCCAGGCAGTGCTGGCTGCCCAGACAAGGTTCTGGGGCAGAGGGAATGCCAAGAAGGGGGAGATAATAAATCATCTGTGCTGGGCTTTCAGACAGTGGCATGAAAGTTGCCTCTAGCAACCAGGCTGGAGAAGGCTGCCATGCAAGCCTGCTTGGGGAATTGCTTTCGAGGATAATTTGGCTTTGCTATGAAATGTTTCTTTTCTTTCATCAAGAGATAACATGGCATTGTCCCCGGCCCTGGTCGGTCGTGTGGGTGGCAGCCACTCCATGTGTTCCTTTCACATCGATGTTTCTCTCTCTCTCTCTGTTTCTCTCTCTCCCTCCCACTCTACCTGAACAAAAAATGGAAAAATGTCCTCGGGTGAGGATAAAAAAAAAAAGAGAGAGATAACATGGCAGCAGTATCCATCCAATGAACCCCCCCTGCCTAAAAATAAACCTTTTCTTCATTTGTTCTCAATCCCACACTATCATTCATCCTCTATGTCTTTGTTTTCATTTTTCTCCTCGGCAGGAGGGCAAAGATAAAATGTTCCTGATAGAAAAGTTGACGAAGCTGCAGGATACAGAGAAGAGAGCAAACCCCAGCTCGTTCACACTGGAAAGGAGTGACGTGGAGGTGAGGCTGGAGGCCCCCTGGGAATCCCTGTGACACCTACTTGTCTCCCTGTGAAAAGGGCATCGGCACTAGAATCATATAAGGACACTTCACTTTCGATGTTTAGACATTTCTGCATTTTTTATTTAAAAAATAATATTCATTCATTCAGCACTTTCCTGGCCTTGTTCTAGGTGCTGGGTTATTATAATGAACACAACAAAGGAGCTGCCCTCATGAAACTTGCATCCATTGTTTCTGTAACCCAGACACAGAAAAGTAAATCCCACTGAGAGGAAAAGTGCCCAGAAATCTTACCCCACTGTAATAATGCTTCAGTATATTCTTCCAGATCTTCCCCCCGGCATCTGCAAACATACATGCATCTAACGTTTTCTAATTTTTACAAAAGTGGGGCTATACTATACACATGTATCAAAACTACTCCCCACTGAATATCTCAGACATTGTTTCAGTCTGTACATATTTGGATATTTGGGTCGTTCCCATGTTTTTTGGGGTTTTTGGGTTTTTTTTAAGACTAAAAACTGTGTGTGACTGAACATTTTTGTTATAATTATTTTATGCGAGTATTTCAGCCACAGGACATCCACATGATAATGTTAATAGATATTGGCATATCACTGTTTTAAAAAGATTTTACCAATTTCATTCTTACCAGGAGGGTGTAAGAGATGCCTAGAACCTGATTCCAGATCCCATGCTTCCCCGGTGTCCTGGAAAATACACACAAACAGTAAACCCACCTTAATTCAAATGCCACTAGTTTTGGAAGTTATGATCTTGTCAGAAGAGACTGCTGTGTCATTTATTATCTGTGTAGTTCATACTATTGGCACCATTCAGGGATCTAGAAACTCAACTTTAAAACCTATGAAGGCAGAGAGCATGTCTATACCCTTGCAGCCCCAAGTTCTAATCTGTTACCTGGCATGTTGTAAATACTCTGTGAAATGAATGAAAAAATCAGTGGAATCATAGTCCCTAAAAAACAGAACAAAACATGTTTCATGATTTTATGGTTGAGCCTTGTCCTTAGTTTGTTACCTCTTAAGTTTTAAAATTATGGGAACTCATCATCAGCCCACCAACCAAAGGGTCACAGCTTTGATTGCAGTCAAGGGCATGTACCTGGGTTGCTGGTTTAATCCTGAGCCCTGGTCGGGGTCATGCAGGAGGCAGACAATGGATGTGTCTCTCTCACATTGATGTTTCTCTCTCTCTCTTCCTCCGCCGCTCCCTCCCTTCCATTCTATCTAAAAAAAATCAATGGAAAAATATCCGCAGGTGAGGATTAACAAAACAAAAAAAGAAAGAAAATGATGGGGGCCCATAAATCTTCCCAATGATGCCACAGGTCCTGGGCTCTACATTATCTTCCAGCAATGAGGCTGCCTGTTTTCTTCTTTTTCAGGAACCAGACCCTTTGCACGTCAGGGAATATGAAGGTGCTCGTGGTGAGTAACCGAACTGGCACTGAAGAACATCTCACTTATTTAGATGACATACCCCAAGGTAGAGGATCGGAATTGCAAGAACTGACCCAAAGTGGCTTTAGCAAAAATCCAAGAATAATTCTTGCTTTAAAAGCTAGGGCTCACAATATGCCATAAGAACCTGGTTTCTTTCTGTTCAGTTCTTTTCCATGTTAGCTCCTTTCTCAATAGGCTCTTCCTAATAATTGCAAGACAGCTTTATCAGCTTCTTCTATCTCCTATCAATTGGCCAGATCTGAGTCACAGGCCTCATCTGTAGAGACAGATAAAACAACCATACAAACCACAGGGACTGAGATTGGGGAAGAGTTTCTCAAAGAAAATCTGTGGCTGATGCCAGAAGGGAAATGAATGTTGGGGAAGGAAACAAACCAACCAGCTAATTCATCGTTTGGGGGGCAGCATTTACTGACGGCATCCAATGATGAGCGTTCAAGGGGCAGAACTGAAGAAACTCGAAAGGAGGAGGCAAGGAAGGCATCAGCAGCTGAGCAGTCTTGAAGGCCAATCCGACCTTTCCTGGGAGAGATGGGGCAATGTGTGTCTGTGCTAACTTCTCTTTCCTGTGTCAAACCCAGAGCTGCGATTTAGGCGGTCAGTTCAAGAAAATAATCCAAACGCCTAATGATGTGGTAGCCAGACACCAATACATAAGAAAAGGAGGTAAAGATGGAACAACTTCTTCTATGACACCTCAGCCTTTCGGAGCTTCTGAGAATGGAATTCAAGCCTTTTGCCAGGAGTGGAAACTGACCACAATGTAAATCCTGAAGTAAAATTGGCCATTCCCTGCTGGTATTTTACACTTGAATTGCTGATTTTTTTAAGATAAAATACTTGGGGTTTTCTAATAAAGACTCTTGTATTTTAACTAGTTCACAAAAACCCGAGAAGAGATAACATGGGAATGATGTATTTTAAGAGATGTGCATATGAATTATTGGTCCTCAGAAATCTCTCCTCCCAGACCTCCTAGACCTGGCAAAGGTTTGGAAAGTGGTGCTAAGACAAGTGGTCCAGCCTGAATAAAAATGCGATCCTCTGTCAGGGATGTGATGCCTCTGAATTGTGGGGGACCTGCATTTGTTCATGACTTTGAACTAAAAATAGCCCCATGTTACCCAGAAGTGAAATACAACCAGTGGTCTCATCTATGAACTTTGTTGCATATCAAGTACATGAGTTTTGGGGTTGGACTGGGTGGGGGATGTGGACTGGGACTCTGCCTGTGAGGTTTTATATGTGACCATCAAAGTCTTATGTTGAACCAAATGAGACCAGTGGTATGAATGGAATACACATACACACGGAATATATGTATGGAATGAATACGTATGTTTGTGTATATATACCTATGCATACACACATATATAGCATTGTTGTGCACAGTTGCCAAATGATTCACAAGGCCTGCGACTGTACTTAAAACTGAAGGGTCCAGCAGAAAGGTGCAATTACCAAATTACTCGAGGTGGGGGAGTCTCCTTTTGAGTAATCACTGTCATGAAATCTAATTGGAACTGAATTTAGAAAACATATAAGATACATTTTTAAACCAACATCCAATCTGTATTGTCATGGATTCACTTTTTCACTTATTCATTAATTCATTTCATCAACTGAATTAATTTCTTTTGCTACCATCTTTGCTAGTGGTGGCTAGTACTATTCATCCCCTTTCATTCATTCATTTCACAAATATGCGCCAAGCGGTGAACAAGTCAAGACAGTCTCTGCCCTCATATGCTTATTGTCTGGCAGGTTAACTTAGACAGTAACTTAATAAACAATAATTATGATAGGTGCTGTGATGGAAAAGTCATGGGTCAATTGGAATACAACCTGTCTATGGGGTCAGTGAAGGCAGCCTGTGGAATTGATGTTTGAAGGGATTTTTCCTCCGTCATCTAAATGCCATTTGTTTTTCTGGCTTCTACATCAAAATGTGAACTCCCTCCGAAGGCGTCATTTTTGCTGACTCGCCATATGCTAAGGGTTTATATCTCCATTCACCTCCATCTCGCCTTTACTTCTGTAAAGCCCCTGCTTCTCCTGGAGGTAAAAACACAACAGAAAGATCTAGTCTGCAGGCCTCACACACATATTTGGATGTGAGGATGCTTAACACTTGGTCTTGAGATAGAGGATGTATGTTTCCTAGGGCTGTCAAAACCAAAGAACATGGACTGAGTGGCTTAAACAACACAGATTTATTTTCTCACAGTTCTGGAGGCTAAAAGTTCTCATCATTCCAGTCATAATGTGACACGGAAATACATGCAGTTTAGTTATGTTCCATTTATTGAATAAGTCTTTATCCTATTGTTAATTTTAAAATTCAAGAAAATTTTTTGTAAATGATTGAAAATGATCCCAAACCCCATATGCATGTCCCTGCCAACACCCACTGTGGCAAAAATCAGTCTGCTTCTCACGACCATCAAGCTGTGTGGACCGGCGGCCTGCCTGCTGCCAGCGTGAGGCTGGTGACCCACTGTGACTCCGGAGGGAAGTCGTGACTGAGCTGGGGCCTGTGATCAAGGCTACAGAAGGGGCGGTAAGGAAGGAGGGGGGCATCTAGAGGAGAAAGACAGCTTTGCAATTTTTAAATTTCAGTTCACAATTCCTAAATTTAAATTCACAATAAGCCCCTCCAGAAGCTTCTGTGGGAAGGAGCTGGGAATCAAGGGCGTCATAAAGGCAGACAAGGGGATTAAGATCAGGGTCTCTGAGGCAGGCCAACCTGGGTTTGAACCCCAAGTGCCCCAAGAAACTGGAGACCTTGAGTAAGTGACTCACTTTCAGTGCCTCAGTTTCCTCATCAGTAAAAAGCAAATACCTCTAAGATTTTTGTGAGACTGAATTAAGATAATATATTGAACTACTAAAGTTCCTGGCAAACAGTTAACAATAAATTTGTTATCATAAGATCAGGTTCTGCTATGTCACCAGTTGTGTCATTTCTGAGGAAAACCCTTCCCTTTCACAGGCTTTAATTTTCTGGTGTAAAATGAGGATAAGACTAGATGTCCCTGAATTGCCTCATCATCACTTGTAGAGTAGCCTCAAAGAGTGAAACTCTGCCACCTAGTGGTCTATAGTTCTTATTTCAAGATACCACAAACAATCCCTCAGGCTGGTGTCAAGACTTCCCTGACACTTGCTCACACTGAAGCTGTTGCCCTGGTCACTGGATTGCTGACAGCAGCTTCCCTAAATTCCTTATGTCCTAGGATTTGATGCTTGATACGCAGTTTTCCCTTAGTGCTCCTTTTAATGATTTTATTAGTATGGTCACAAGTTTGACATCTATAGTACATTGATAATGTAGTCAAATACAAATATTTTAAATAATTACATAAATGTGTCATTTTAAAATGTCAACTTTGAGTGATCATGCATTTGCCATGCATTTGCATTTGCACCCCCAAATTGCATAACTCAATCTGTGCTTATCCTCACTGGGTCTTGGTGTATATCTCAGCTAGGTCTGGGCAGGAGCTGGCTGAGGCTCCTTGTGCCTTTTTGCAGACCCAGATTTTCAAGAGCAACAGTGTTGAACTCGGGTATTCCTTGGAGCGTGGTGGCAACACCAGGTTTTGCTTCGTTTCGGGTAAAAATACAATTACCAACTATTGCTTCTGTAGGCCACCTGATCCCCCATGACTCGGGCTAGCACAAGGGTTCTTCAATATTCCTGCATGAGGCCAGCAGGCAATCTATATAGCCGTGGTTTCCTCCCTTGGGGAAAAGTCTATAAGTGAGGTGCACAGTCTTCCAACATGCTGTCGGTGACATAGCTGGAACCAAGATGGGATTCGTAGTAACGTTTTTCATCAAAGGTATTAACAGTCCAACCAACAACCTGAATGCCTTTAGCTGACCACTTCTTTAAGTAGTGACTGGAAAAAGAGGAAAAATCAAATCTGTTAGAACAATAACCAGGAATTGGCTTAGGAATCTATACTAGTCACTAAGTATGGAACTCACTGAGTACTAACAGTGCTGAGAAAGAACCTCTTAACTGCCCTCAGGACTGAAATCAGAGGGAGGGGTTCTAATAAAACCCAGCTTAAAACACTTAAGTGGTTTGCTAAAGAACGACCCCCCCCATTCACCAGCCCTGGATGGTTTGGCTCAGTACTTAGAGCATCTGCCCTCGGACCTAAGGGTCGCAGGTTCTACTCTGGTCAAGGGCACATACTTGGGTTGTGGATTTGATCCCCGGCCCTGGTCAGGGTCGTGTGGGAGGCAACCAATTGATGTGTATCTCTTACATCGATGTTTCTCTCCCTCCCTCCCACTATATTTAAAAATCAATGGAGAAATATCCTTGGTGAGGTTTAACAACAACAACAAGAATCCCCCCCCACACCCTTCAAAAAGGCATATTGGAAGCATACCTGGCTTAGCCCCACCTTTCTTGGGCCTCATCTTAAACCACACTCTCCCTTTCTTTTCAGTGCTGTAGAATACTGATTTTCTTTCCATTCCTTAAAAGAAGCAGTCTCCTTCCTGTCGTAACACTTTTGCATGTGTTTCTCCCTCTGACATGATCTCCACACCCGCCCCCCTCAATTCCTACTCACCCTTCAGACCTTAGCTTAGTTGTCTCTTTCTTGGGGATGTTTGCCCCTACTCCCCTGACTAGGTAAATTTATATATGCACACTATCCTTTCCTACAAAGTGTTTATCTTAGCTGTGATTTACTGTTTTATATTTGATTAGCATCTCTCTCTTCCACTTGACTACAAACTCCATGAGGACAGAACATGGCTTTGTTTACGACAGTATCTTCAGATTCTTAATATAATACCTTGCAATACTGTAGACATAAACCAAATATTTGTTGAATTAAATGCATACATGCCTAAAATAATGAAATTTAAATTATAATCAGCTGAAATACATAGCCATAAAATTGCTAAAGGAAAGATTCAGAGATTGCCAGCACGTTAGGGAATAAGAAGTTTCTTGGAAAAAAAGGAACACGGCCTGTAATGTAGAGGGAAAGAGAGGAAAGACGGGAAATATTAGGCATCCACAGAACAGCTCCACTGTGGTTCTCACCTGGATCCTATGTTGGTTTTCAAAGGGAGCCAATCACAAGGAAACGGAATTTCTCTCTCATCAGTTTGGTAAATTCATTATTTTCTATAAAATGCACTTAAAACTAAGAATATTTGTTCAATTTGTTTGGAAATAATAAAATATGCCTAACCTCTTCCCACCTAAGAAGCTAGTGGCATTCCAACTTAATGAAGGTATGGTGGGCTTTGTGGGCGGGAAGCAATCCAGGCTGTCCATTGTTAATCCTTCCTTCCAAGAAACGTGTCAGAAGAGAAAATACTTTCCAACTTACGGGGATATAAAATCCTTTTGCATGAGGAAAGCTGAAACTCCACACAGGTACCACAAGATATTGTGCATGCTCCAATCGAGCAAAATGTCCAAGACCACAAATATGGACTGTCTCCAGAAACTATCATAGCGTGGTTTCCCATCTGCCAAGTGGCTAAGGCTCCAAGGTCTGTGAGTTAAAGCCGTTACTACATTCTGATCTGTTTGTCTCATCTGAAAAGGAATTTTGGAAAATGAAATAATTATCATAAATCCACTCTAGCTTATTTAAATTTAGCCAATATACTCATTCTGAAAGGGGGTCATAGTTGGACCCAGCCCCCATGTCTGCTAAATAATTACTCTATCATAAACCCTTTGAGAAAATGTGATAGATAAAGCATTTAATATAAGTATAAATAAGAACACATCCTTCACAATCCTAAACAAACTGCAAGTCTACCTTTAAAATCAGAAAAATCATAATCTCAGGGTCAACTTTTAATAACATCACAAGAAAAAACTTTCAATGGGATATCAATTTAAATTATGGCCAGAGATCATCAGAACTCAATGAGGATGGATCTAAGATCATTTCACGATAAGCCGGTTAGCTTTTGATCCTTTCTAGAGCAAATGGCTAAAAAGAGTGGTCAGGGTGGGAAAATGGGATGAGAAGTATGTGAGAAGAGAGAATAGAAAAGAAAAAAGTGGGAGCAGAGGCTAGGAAGAGGGCAAAGGAGAAATGTGGAAATGTGGACGGAATTCTTTCAGTCTGTGTTCTATGCTCATCTGGAGAATATATCACACATTCTAAAGGCCTCTGTGGCCAAGTAATTGGGGAAACACTGATCCAAATACCTGAAAGCCCTGTGACCCTACTGATCTCCATGACAGTTTGCGTGTGAACAGGCTACACTCTTACCGTAAAATTTTAAATGTATGCTCTGTTGGTCACTGTTGAAGAATACTATAGAACCAACTCATTATTTTGGAAACTGGTATTTTAAAGGAAAAATTAAGCATTTATTTGCCTACTGGGCAACTAAATACTTCTTTTTATAGAAGAATTTTAGTTAATACATGAAGAAATTACAGAACTAAAATATTAACATTTTGCAACCCCTAGTAAATTAAGACAATGACCACTGGCATCAATAGCAGCTGCTCACAATAAGAGTCAACCAGACATTATATGCCTTCTGATAGAAAAATACCCTAACCCCTGAAATTACCTTGCCAAGAACAACTGAACCTAATTAGATCTAGCCTTTCACTCTCACTACCAATTTACAGGAAATATGCAGGGGAGAAGAATGTGCTGAATTGTGTCACGGCTTAATTAGCAAAATCCAGATTTAGGTAAACTCTACAAGACAACCTGGTTTCTTCAATACATCACAAGGGAGGAAAAAAGAAAGAAAACTTACAGGTTTAAGATTTAAAATTATTAACAGGTAAACAGACTCACAGGTCCAGAGAACATTTTGTTGGTTGCCAGATGGGGGAATAGGTGAAAAAGGTGAAGGGATCAGTACAAATTGATTGTTAGACTGACGAACCTCAAAGGGAAGGAGGGAAGTAGGGGGGCAGGAAGAGATAAACCCAAGAACTTACATGCACAATCAATGGCCACAGACAATAGTGTGGGGAAAGGCAGAAGAGAGGATGGAAGGAGGGGGGTCAATAGGGAAAAAAGGAGGGACATCTGTAATACATTCAACAATAAAGATATGTTTAAAAAATAAAATTATAACAGGTAGTCTTTACCTGGGTCTTGATTCAATTAGCAATTTGTAAAAAACAAAAAAACTTGCCCTGGTCAGTTTGGCTTAGCAGTTAGAGCGTCAGCCTGCGGACTGAAGAGTCAAGGGCAGGTACCTCAGTTGCAGTTCTATCCCCGACCCTGGTCAGGGTCCCTCGGGAGGCAACGGGTCGATGTGTCTCTCTTACATCAATGCCCCCCCCCTTACCCCCTCCCTCCCTCCCACTCTATCTGAAGATAAAATAGAAAACTATCCTCAGGTGAGGATTAAAAAAAACAAAAACTGTACTGTTTCTGAGACAAATAAAAATGTATACACTGACTGATATTTGATGATCTTATAGACTTATTGTTAATGATTTCAGATGAAATAATAGTATTGTGGCTACGTTTTTAAAAGAATCATTTTTTAAAGATACTTAATGTGCCTTGGCCAGGTGGCTCAGTTAGTTGGATGTAGTGTAGTCCCATACACCAAAAGATTGTAGAGTTCAGTTCCTGGCACATACCTAGGTTGTGGGTTCAATCCCCGGTCAGGGAACCTATAGGAGGCAACCAATTGATGTTTCCCTTTCTCTCTCTCTCTCCCCCACCTCCTCTCTCTAAACATATCCTTAGGGTGGATTAAAAAAATAAGATACTTAATGAAATTTTTATAGATAAAATTATATAATGTCTGGGATTTGCTTCAAAATAACACTGGGGAAAATAAGGGGTATATGGATGAAACTGAATCATGGTCAGAGGGCTCACTGAACTATCATCCACTTTTATGCGTATTTTAAAGTCTCTGAAATTAAGAGTTCTTTCTTAAAGGATATATTTTATTGCCCAGCCAGTGTGGCTCAGTGAATTGGGTGTCATCCCATGGACTGAAAGGTCCCGGTTTGATTCCCAGTCAGGGCACATGCCTGGGATTGCAGGCTCAATCCCTGGTGGAAGGGGGGGTACAGGAGGCAGCCAATCGATGCTTCTCTCTCACATCAATGTTTCTATCTCTCTCTCCCTTCCTCTCTCTCTAAAGAAATCAATAAAAACAATATATAAAAAGAGAGAGTTTTTGTTGTTACTCAGTGAGACATAGAACTACATAATTTTTTCTGTTCTGAGGATATTTACCAAAATAATCGGAATGAGCATATAAACATAAAAAAGAGAGCTAAAAAGGAATTATGGTATTTTAAATAGGGGTATGAGTCCATTCCGCTTCCTGAACTTCTCTTGTTAATTTAAAAGAGGAGTTTCTTAACTGATTCAGTTCAATTCAATACATCTTATGCTTACTTAGCCCACTGCTATGATCACCACCAACTAATATAATATTGAATGCAACAAAAATGCTGAAGTTTACCTTATAGATAACTTCTGGCAAGAAAGAGCAGACCATACTATTATTGTATAGTTGAGGAAACTCCATATATATTTTCTTTAGAGCATCAGTAGCCTGTAAAACAGAACAGATTCATGTATTTAAAATCTATTAAAATGTAATAGTTTTAAGCAATAATCACTATATATTAAGTACAACCTTATCAAATAAATCAGAGGTTTACTAATATATAGGGATGATGAAAAGAGTTCTAGTAAATTCCACTATCCATTGAGATACATTTTGAATTCACATCCACAGCAGATAAAGAAGTTGGGATACTGCTGCTTTACTGTCTTGCTAACAGGCTTATCCCTTTTGTCGTATTTTTGGAAAATATGGCAAACTGTAGGCCAGTAGAGGCTGGAGGCAAAATTTTAGTATCTTTTCCCTATACCCTTGTTTAGCCACTAGGAACAGTCCTTTTATACCCTCTGCTTTTCCTAGCTGAAGCATGAGACATCAGCCTGGGAACTACAAAAGGTAGATCTCCTCAGTTCAGAGAACCGAGAGGAAATGTCACCCATCATCAACCTGAAGGTAGAAGCAATGGAACACGGGAGGAACTGGGGAGCTGGGAGTTTCCCAACTCTTCCCAAGGTGAGCAGAAATTTCTTTTTGTAGTCCAGCTAATAAATAAAGAAGTGATAGAATTAAAATACTGACATGTTGTAACCTCTAGTGAATTAATAGATTTAGCCATTGAATATAAGGCTGCTAAATCATAATTCTTGAAATACTGCTAAGTTTTGGAAAGTCCCACATACCTATAACCAAATATAAGCAACAAGATGGATCCCAAAACAGAAAACACAGAAAGTATTCATGTGACAGAGTGTGAGCTATAGTGCCCAAGTTATCTTCTTGCTGTTTGAACTACCACATGCACTGTGTGTAACTCTTCACTGACATTATTTATTTAGTTCTCACAACAACACTAGGTGGTAGTGTCTTTAATTATTCCCATTTAGCCCATGAAGAAACTGAAGCTTATCAAGGTTGAGGCTACACTGTAGTAAATCTATAATCTCGGTTCCTGTGCTCCACTGTCTCCAATTTGCTGCCAACACTTTGTTCCTTTCCACCACCACTTTGGTGAACTGGATCACTATGTTCTACCCAGTCTGGCCCAAACCGCCTGCTAAGCACCCAACCAGAAAGCTTAAATAGCTGGATTAAAAATATATATTTGTTCTTCTCCGCCCCCACCTCCCTCTTATTCTAAGAGAATAAGCACAAAGGTCAGTACAACATCAGTGAAACATCAGTGTTCCCAGACACGGGCCTTATTATGAACAAAACCTGAAGTGCTCATGAAAAAGACAGGTTCCTTGATCCCTAGATATTTTCAGAATTTCTTCTCTAGGCAGTATAGCCCAAAAACCCACATTTTAAATTGGCATTCCTGGTGATTCAAACCAACTGGAAAACCTAGAACTATCAATTTAGCAGAATAATAAATTAACCAGAGCACCATTCTCTTTTTTCTTTAAAAATAGTTTACTGTACTAAAGTTAGAATACAGAGACTTATATTTCAGATTTTTAATTTTTTTCTTTATTGATTTTTAGAGCGAGAGGAAGAAAGAGGGAGAGACAGAAACATCGATGAGAGAGAACATCGACTGACTGCCTCCTGCATGCTCCTCACTGGGGATCTGGCCCACAACCTGGGCAAGTGCCCTGACCAAGAATCGAACCAGTGACCTCTTGGTGCGTGGGTCAACACTTAACCACTAAGCCACACCAGCTGGGCTTATATTTCAGATTTTAACAATTGGTTTCAACTGTATCCTGGGATTAATTTTTTTAAATTGACATCATCAGCCCTGGGTGGTATGGCTTAGCGGTAAGAGTGTCACCTGTGGACCAGAGTCCCGGGTTCGATTTCGGTCAAGGGCATGTATCTTGGTTGCGGTTTGTCCCTGGCCCCAGTCGGGGTTGTGCGGGTGGTAACCAATTGACGTCTCTCTCTCATGTCAATGTTTCTCCCTCTCCCTCTTTTCCTCTCTCCCTCTAGCTCTGACGATTAATAAAAAAAAAAAAAAAAAAAAAAAAAAATCCTTGGGTTAGGATTAAAAACAAAACAAAAAACTGACATCATCAGAATTCTAAACCAGTAGACGGCCATTACTGATAGTAACTATTGCTAGCTAGGGGTAAATATGCAAGTTGTCTAGATGCGGAAAAAAAGTTTTTGTACTTGAAAAGCTGGTTATAAGAACAAATGTACTCTGAACCATATTTTCCCACTGCTTTCCATTGCAATATGTTTTTGAGTAAAAGTATATGCTCTAAAATATAAGCAAAACTTTACTTAGAAATGTCATACATATTTGAAAAAAATTATAGTAATTTTCTGATAAAAATATAACTACTCAAATCATAGAGTAACAAAACTATACATAAGAGATAGAAATCCTACAGAAGGGAAAAATCTGTGTAAAAGATAAATATCCTATTAGCTACCAGAAGCTTTAAATTTCATCCACAGTTGTCCAAGACCTTCTTTTATTTATTTTTTTTTAATCCTCACCTGAGGACATTTTTCCTTTTTTTTTTTTTTTTTGGTTCATACAGTGGGAGGGAGAGAGACGGAGAGAGAGAGAGAGAAACATCGACGTGAAAGGGACACATCGAGTGGTTGCCACCCGCACAACCAACCAGGGCCAGGGACAAACTGCAACCAAGGTACATGCCCTTAGCCAGAACCAAACCCAGGTCTCTCTGGACCGCAGGCCGACATTCTAACCGCTGAGCCAAACTGGCCAGGGCTAAGACCTTCTTTTTTTTTTTTAAATCTTCACCCGAGGATATTTTTCTATTTATCTTCAGATAAAGTGAGAGGGAGGGGGAGAGAGAGAAATATCAACACGAGAGGCGACTGGTTGGCTCCAGCGCGACCCCGACCCAGGCCAGGGACGAATCACAACCGAGGTATGTGCCCTTGACTGGAACTGAACCCTCAACTCATTGGTCTCCGGGCCAACGCTCTAACCGCTGAACAAACCGGCCAGGGCTCCATCTAAGATCTTTAACAGACAAATGAAACTGGTCGTGCCCTGGCTGGTTTGGCTCAGCGGTTAGAGCGCCAGCCTGCAGTCCACAGAGACCCGGGTTCGGTTCCCGCTAAGGGCATGTACCTTGGCTGCAGTTTGTCCCCGGCCCTGGTTGGGTCGTGCGGGTGGTGGCTACTTGATGTGTCCCTTTCACGTCGATGTTTCTCTTTCTCTCTCTCTCTCCCTCCCGCTCTATCTGAATAAAAAATGGAAAAATATCCTCAGGTGAGGATAAAAGAAAAAAAGAAACTGGTTGTATCCAACTCCTGAATTCCTTTTATGAGGTTACTTGAAAGGTCTGTTTAAGAAGTGCCTCTTTATTGTTTATTTAATATCTTTGGCAATTGCTTTAGGCAAATAAGAGAAACCTGACTCTTATATTTTATGCTAGTTTTAGAATATCGGGGGTTGTTAAAAGGTTCCATCAAAGTTTAAAAAGTTTAAAAGATTCTATAATTTACGGTTTTCCTTATAGATGTGGATTTTTGCATTGTATATTTCCATTAAGCAACTGTAAGTAATAAAAATAATTTAAGAAGAATAAATAGTAAAACAGATAGTTTTAAAAATGACTAGCAATTAAAAATGCCTTGTTTACAAAGTGAAGTCTATGGTTTAAATACCTTATTTGCATGGCCCTTGACATCAAAGAAGATTGTGAGGTTATGGTTTAGGGACTCTGCAACTGCTTCTCTCAGGGTAGGGATTTTTTCATCAGGAAAATCATTCCTATGAGAGAGGGAAAAGGCATAGTACATTGTAGGAAAAAGAAAAACATACAAGTTTAGTGGAAAAGACATTTAACAAATGTCTCCCAAACAAAAGGAAAGAGTGTTTCCCCAACTTCCTTTCTTAACCACACTAAAGTCCAAGGATAATTTACTATTTGGACTTGAACCAAAGTACAGATATTCTTGACCAAAGAACAGCAACAACAACAAAAATCATTTAATTTTTAGGAAATCACTCGATTTCCACTGAATTAGTAATATAATCAGTAATTCTACTCACCACGGGCAGAGTCTATGCCACCTTAGGAAACTCAGAGACTTGATTTTAAGATTGCAATTGCCCTAACAGAACCTCTCCAAGAAAATTCCTAGGAATATATCAATCTGTTGACTGTACTGTCATTCATGTAAGTACAACTGTTTAAAATAAATAATTTTCTAATACATAATTTTCTGATAAAAAAAAAGGAAGTTAAGCCCTGGCCTATTTGGCTCAGTGGTTAGAGCGTCAGCCTGCGGACTGGAGAGTCCTGGGTTCGGTTCCTGCTAAGGGCATGTACCTTGGTTGCAGTTTGTCCCTGGCCCTAGTTGGGGTCGTGTGGGTGGCACGACCCTCTCAGTGTGTCTCTCTCACACAGATGTTTCTCTCTCTCTCTTCCTCCCCCTCTCTCCCTCCCACTCTATCTGAAGATAAATGCGAAAAAGTCCTCAGGTGAGGATTAAAAATAAAAAGAATTTAAGCGCCTAATATATTAAGAAATTGACTTTTCTCACATAAAATTTCAGTGTACATGATTTAACTTATGCTAGTTCAACAGTATTACTTCAACTGTAAGATCTTGGCTTTAATGAAGTGATAAAGATAATTTAAACAGTGCAGGCAATTCTGCTTGCCACTCTACTCAATGCCTATCCCCTGGAGTGAGAGATGTAAATCTATTCCTTGGTCAGTCTTGGCTTCCACACCCTCCTCACAGGATGACCATCTTACCACACTGGGTAATTCTAGAGAAAATAACTATTTTTTCTATAACATGGTCCCTAAACACAAGCCAATTACTCTATTTGGTGTTCAAGCAAACATAACCTATTCCAATTGTGGAATAAAGACTGGTCATGTTAAAGATATAAGGATGGTATACTAACTTTGATAGCACACTTTCTTAAAAGGATTTTAAGAGTAAAACTGACCCCAAACCCTGATTGCTTTTTAAGTAAACATCTTATGTGCAATGTCACTCACATTAAAACCAGCCTTTCCCTTTCATGGTGCAGAGTGATGAAATATCTGATTGCTACAATAAAGAGTAATCCCAGCAGCCTGGACTCAGAACTTTTTAGTGTTATCAATATTCTTCCTAGACTAAAGCATGATTTCCTTTGACTGACTTTTAATTTCTTTCAGATCCTAGAAAAATGAAGTTTGAATCATCTTTTAGGGAGGACTATAAATCACTGGGTGGAATACTCAGTACTCAAGGAGTACTCATCATTGTCCAGAGAATTGATATGACACGAATAACAGTAAGCACACATTTTTCAGTATTACCAAGAAAAAACAAGAGGAGAGGGATTTAAATAACTACATTTCAAAGTATATTATTACCCAGTATACCAATTCCAAGGTGTCTATAGCTACTAATGGTAGGAAGGGTGTGGGTTCTATGGTCACATACATTTGAGAAGCACTAAATTAAAGGTAAGAATTGACTGACATGGACTATTTATTTCCCAGGGGGTTCATCTACAGTACAGTGTTTGATCTTATTTGATCATAGAACTTTTTCTTGGGGAACATGATATAGGACTAGCTCAGATATACACATATATAATTTACATGGCAGTACAAAGTAATTGACTAGACAGAGTACTGTCTTCAGAACAATTTCAAGGCGAAATTTGGCCTCAGTGGAAAAAGATGAAAAACATCAATTTCTGTTGTTCCTGGCACCTGCTTATTACTTGGAAAACCTGTACATAGTAAAACACACACATACACACACACACACACACACAAACTCTCTGGAGCAGAAGATGTAACTTGAAGGTGCCAATATGTGTGATCTCCAACAAAAGCTGAAGATGTGTTTAAGTGACAGTCAATAACTTACCTTAATCTGTGATTTGCTGCAGGATTAAGCTTCCTAATTTCTTCAAATGTCAAATCACACAATCGACCAGTGCCATCTGTCGTCCTATCCACTGTGTTATCATGCATTAAAACAGGAATCCCGTCAGAAGTAAACTCAATGTCCAACTCCACACCTGATGCTCCATTCTTAGCTGCCTTAACAAAAACATCAACAATGTTAATATCAAGTGTCATTTTGCAATATAAACACTCAAGGCAACCAATAGGGCTGGGTAAATAAACTGATTCCTTTCACGTTTAATTTATCCATTTCTCAATTGATGAACATTTTTGTTGTTCCCACATTTTTTTTTAAATCCTCACCCAAGGACATGCTTAGAGAGAGAGAGAAAAACATCGATGTGAGAAACAGTGATTGGTTGCCTTCTGTATATGCCCTGACTGTGGATGGAGCCTGAAACCCAGGCATGTGCCCTGACCAAGAATCAAACTGGCAACCTTGTAGTGCACAGGACAATGCTCAACCAACTGAACCACACCGGCTGGATGTTGGTTCCACTCTTTGACCATTATGAGTAACACTATGATCATTCATACACAAATTTTTACATTTTAGTTCTTTTGAGTATATAACTAGGAATTGCTGGATCATACAGTTACTCTATGTTTCACCTCTTAAGGAACTGCCAGACTGTTTTCCCACCAGTAGTATACAAAGGTTCTAATTTCTCCATATCCTCACCAACACTTGTTTTTTATTATAGCCATTCTAATCAGTACTTCATTGTGATTTTGATTTGCATTTTCCAGATAACAAATTCTTATCAAGTGCCTACTATGTATCAGCAGTGAGGAGTGGTGAGCAAGAAAGAAAAGGATTGTGGATCTTACATTTTAGTGGAGAGAAACGGACTACAAACATGTTACATGTAAATTATGATAGTGATAAATGTTTTGAAAAAGAAAATAGAGAGTAATATGAAGGTTAAAGCAGGTAGGGGTAACTAAACAAGGCAGCCAGGAGAAGGCCTCTCTAAGGATGACATTTAACACCAATCAGGAAGAATATATGTACCCCCATGTTCATAGCAGCACTATTTACAATAGCTAAGACCTGGAAACAGCCCAAGTGTCCATCAGTAGACGAATGGATAAAAAAGCTGTGGTACATAAACACAATGGAGTACTATGCAGCGGTAAGAAAGAAAGATCTCTTATCCTTTGAGACGACATGGAGGGACCTGGAAAGTATTATCCTAAGTGAAAGAAGCCAAGCAGAAAAAGACAAATACCACATCATCTCACTTATATACGGAATATAATGAACATAACAGTCTGAGGAATACGGCAGACCCAGAAACATGGAAGTAGGGCACAGACTGACATCCCTCAGAAGAGGGGGTGGGGGTGGGAAGAGATAAATCACGGAACTTATATGCATGTATGCATAACCGATGGACATGGACAACAAAGCCAGGATGGGGCGGGGGGGGTGGGGGGTGCCAATGGGGTAAAAAGGTAAAATATCTGTAACAAAAAAATAAATAAATAATTCATAAAAAAAAAAAAAGAATGACATTTAAACTGAGACCATAATGATAAAAGGGAGTCAACCATACAATCTGGGAGAAGAGTATCCCAAGCAGAAGAAATGGCAAGTATAATACAAAGGTCACAAGGCAGGAGGGAGCCACAAAGTGATCTAATCTATTGATTCTTGGCCTAAAGCGCTTACATTTGTGGAGGTCTTATCAGTCATTCCTTATCCCATTACTCTATTTCTTCATTGCATTCTTCGCTCTCTTAAAGTGTCTCGTTTATGTATTTACTTGTTTAAGGCCTGTCACCTTGACTCCAATGCAAGTTCTGTGAAAGCAGGAACCCTTTCTGTCTTGTTCATGTCTATCTTCTCGGTGCCTGGTACATAGCAAATATGCAAGTACTTGCTGTATTCTATAAATACTTGAAGTCGGGAGAGTTTCCAGACTTCAAAGGGATCGAGGGCCACTTCAATGTCTTCCTGGAGGACGAATGGAGTAATGGGAAGGCTATCGTGAGAAGACTGGGGAACCTTTGGAAACACAAGCAGAAGTCCAAGCTCCCAGGAGGCGCGCGAGGCACCGGGGTGCTCACCTGCCGTATGGCCGCCAGCGTGTTCTCGGGTGCGTCGTGGCTGCCGCCGCGGTGGGCGATGGCGGAAACGCGGTCCCGGGGCTTGAGCACCTGCAGGGCCCTGCGGGAGGGCAAAGGCTCAAAGCTGAAAAGACGCAGAAGGAGGTAGAGGCTGCCAGTGGAGAGGCAGGCATTGAAGGGGCTGCGTGTCAGCAGCAGCAGCAGCAGCAGTAGGAAGGAGAAGGGGCCCAGGAGGCCCCCCTGTTCCTCCCACAGCCACATGCCGGCGCCTGCACCGGCACGGACTGGAGTCCCGGACCCGCCGGGCTCCCGGGACTAGAGAACGAGAAGCAAGGGCCAGAGCCCAAGGAACTCACCGCAGGAGCACCCTTCGAAGGGTACAGCGCCCCACAATGGCGGCGGCGGCGGGCACATCCGGAGAGGGAGCCAGAAGACCAGCCAATCAGGGCCGGGATCTCCCAAGATCGGGGGCGGAGCCACTGGATAGCAACGGAGGCCGGCCCAGGTCCCAGGCTCAAGTCCCAAAGTGGCTTTGGGGTTATTCTGAGGTCTGGACTGCAACTCGGCTCTCATACTCCAGAAAGGGAGGGATGCAAGAGCCAGTGTACGACTGCAAAGGTTCTTAACGATGCTTTCATTCTACCCTCGAGGACACTGTCCAGGGAGCCTCGAAGGGGCAGGACGCTTTTGACTATTTATGCAATTCAATTCAAGGTGTGCCAAACACTAATCCGAGTGCTCAGGACACAGAAGTGAACAGGACTGACGGGGTCCCTGCTGTCCTGGGGCTTACATTCTCGTGGTGGTGGTGGGGGGATAATAGTGTTAGGGAGTACAACCAACATTTATAGAGCCCCTGCCATGTTCCAGGTTCTGTGCGAGCAAATGCTTCATGCATTATTTCATATTTTCACAACAGCCTGGGTGGGTAGGAATTATCTCAGAGGACTGAAATCAGTCGACTTTAGAAGGATTTTTCAGATTCTAAGGAAATGAAAGAACATAGCAAAAGGAGGCATGATCGGATTATAATACAGAAGGGATTTTAATGATTTCCTCATTTCACAGATGAGGAAACTGAGGCCAGAAGAGGTGAAGTGAATTGGACTGACATCAAGCCACCCCAGTTTTAGGCCAGTGACTTTTCTACAGCTGTTCCTCCTTCCAACCTTATTTCTCCACCTGCGAAAGGCTAATAATGGGGTTTATGTACCAGGCACTGGGTGAGAATTATGTTGCTCCTCATAACTACCCTTGTGACAGTCACTTTTAAAACTCTCATTTTACATATGTAAAGTATGCACAAGAAGGAGGCAGGAGGTAAAACCGAGTTGGGACATGAAAGAAGCCACCAAATCATATTTCAGAAAGCTGATAACATGTTTAGATACAGAAGTTTGGCAAAACATTCAAGGTTCTTCCTGCCATCTTGAACCTATTACCTTTCTCAGACGTTATTTTCCCACTGATTTGCAAAATACCCTTTTGCAAAAGGGTAAGGGATATCTTAAATCTTAGAGTTGGCATCTAGAATTCTACGATTTTTTATTTACAGAAAAAAAAATTGGTGAATGTCGCATGTTTTCCAACGACCACACAGAAAAAGGAAGGTTGCCATTCTAATGGATTGTAATGGTAGAGGCATTTGCTTTCCGTGAAGACTACATTTCCCATCGTGCACCGCGCTCTCAGAAGTACTGCGTCCTCCACCGCCGGGGCCGGAAGCTAACCAATCCACCTCGGGGATTGTAGTTTTCTGGCGGCATAACCGTTTCAACCGCCCGGGGGAAGCAACCACCGGAAGTGCCGGCCCTGGGAGGTGGAGTCCCGGCGGCGGCGGCGGTTGCCAGGAGCCCGCGTTGCCGCCTGAGACCGGTAATATGGCCGGGAGGAGGAGGAGAAGGCGGCGGCGGACCGAGCTGCTCTCTGTCATTACCAATTGAGCCATTTGGTCCCCGACAAGGCCCGTGGTGAGGGAACGAAAGGTGACCGGGCCGTGGGGATCGGGTGTGTTTGTGCTGAGGGGGCTTGACGTCGAGGGTCCCTGCTATGAGGCCACTGGTCGAGGCGGAATTGGCGCCTTGAGGAGCTGATGGCGGGCTCCGTGTGGAACCCGAGCGCCAGGGCTGGGCTCCCGGGCCTCGAGCCGCTGGGAAGGCGCTGGTGTGGGGAGGCGGGCGCCGGGGCGCCGGCGGCGTCGGGCGCGGAGGTGATGCTTGGATGCTGGCACTGCCTGCGGGGCCCTCGGGATGGAGCCTCATCAGAGGAGCCGGGGAGATGGGCGTGGGGCGCTGGGGTGAGAGCAAAGGGGCCGGGTAAATACACTGCGGCTCGAGCCGCAAAACGACCTCCTAGTGATAAAACTGGGCCTTTTTCTCTTCTCCTACGATGCTAGCGAGGAAGAGATCAATCCCCAGGGAGTGCACTGGCCGTTTCTGAACGCGGGTTACCACAACCAGACGCCCCAGGAGCTCTGTTTACTCTGCCTTTGCGACTCTCTGGGGCTCGAGCGTAAGGATAATACCGCAAATTGTCTTGATTGCCCCTGATGCTGCTAGGTGGTTCCCACTCTCCCATCAGGGTTTGATCCCGCTTCCCTACCCCTAATTTAGGCAGATGGCAGGTGCTAGAGATTGATTTAATGGGGAAGGGTCTGGAAACAGCGAAATGAGGAAGCCGGTGTCTCCCTTTCCATGTTTTTAAGTTACGTTTGAATCTTACCAGGAACCAAGCACTGTCACTGGCCTCCAGGAGTTCATAATGTAGCGATAAAAATCATCATCATCATCATCTGCATAATAAAAGCAGCCCCCCTTTATTGATGCTTTCTGCATAGCCTGCAGTATACTGATTGCCAGACATGCATTAGTTCATTGAATCCTCACAGAATCTCTTTGAGACAGATGAGATTATCCCTATTTTACAGATGAGGAGACTGAGGCATAGAGATGGTAAGTGAATTGCCAAGAACTTACAGCCAGTAATATGTGTCTAAGTAAGAAATCTTCCCCTTTGTTGCCTCTCTAAGAAGTTTATGTCTTTGGGAGGCCTGATGGGTAAACAACCAGCTAGAATCTGAAAACAAAGCAAGATCTGTTCTGTGTTACTTTTACCATCCCCTTCAGTGACATTTCTGGTGGAGACTGGTGAGGAGCAGCTAGCCTGGCCACGAGTCTATGGGGTTTGCAAAAAGGCTTATTTGGAGAAGGGTCATGGTATAAAGGGAGAAGACAAGGCATGTCTAAACTTGATGCAGCTGACAAATTATTAATTTATGTGGGCCAGTAATGCCTGATGGCAAAGTATGGGGCAGTAGATTTGTGGTTGGAGTGGCCTTGTAGTTAAGGCTCCTTTAAAGTAAAACCCTGCTGACAGAGTTAATTGTGTTGTGAGAAAGGAAGTGCCTTCTTGCTTAATCATATAGGATACAGATGCTCACTTTTTAAATGGTTGCCTTTGCAGTTTAGAGGTGCCAGTTTCTTTGAGAATAGGATCATTTATGAGACTACCATTCTGTAAATTTTCATTCTTCCTAAATAGCTTTTTTCTGATATACGTTATTGTTTGAGCTAATTACCCTAATTTATTTATTAATACTTTTTTTTATCAAGGGCTACTGTGTGCTGACGCTGTTCTACGTAATGGGGATTCAGTGGTGAGCAAGACTCAGAAAGTACCTGTGCTTATGGAGCTTACATTTTGGTGGAGAAAGACAGACAAAAAACAAGGAAATAAACAAGATAATTTCAGATAGTGGTAAGTGCTATGAAAATTGGGAAGCAGCAGTGTAATGTAGTAGTGACTGACGCAGGATTAATTTAAAGGTACATCCTTCAAAGGTGAGGACAAACAAGCTGCCAGTGAAGGATAATAAGGATTCAGTCATGCTCTTCTAGGATCATTTGATGATTTCCATGATCACATTAGCACTTGTATTGGGACGTTTAATGCATTATCATATGCCATAGTTATACTGTAAAAATAATGAGTTACTGTATGTCTGCAATATGTATGACGTACATGTACTGTTTAAGGGATGTGAATTTAACTTTCTGAAACAATGGGATATATCTATATGATATTGTTGAAAAGAAAAGTAAAACTACTGCCATAAAGCTATTTTATTTCCTTAAATTTCCCAGACCTTTAAAATAGAATTTTATGCCCTGGCCAGTTTGGCTCAGCAGTTGAGCGTTGGCCTGCGGACCAGAGAGTCCCGGGTTCGGTTCCCGCTAGGGGCACGTACCACAAAAAAATAAAAAATAAAAAAATAAAATCGGGTTGTTAAAAAAACAAAAAACAAAAACTTACTAAAATAGAATTTCATGTGTCTTCATAGGAAATATATTACATTAATTATATGAGTAATCTATCTATGTTCCCTGTAGAGTTGGATGCATGGGTTGTGTTAAAAAATATTTTGAAGTATTTTAGTAGAAATGGGATCATTTGAATTTCTCTCACATCTTGGCTTTTGCATATTTGGTTAAGACATCATAATATGGGTTGAAATCTAGACTAAAAATTGAGGTCTTTCTATGGTTATCATGCAGTAAGGTGTTGGTTTTGTTTTTTACTTTTGCTTGTTTTATGAATATAAGTTTGGAAAAGAATCTTATTCACACTCTAGAGAATCACTTCTCTGAAATTAAACTCAATTTTCATAAATTGAATATAGTAGTAATTAGAATTGATGGGATGGTAGGAAGAAGTTATTAAGACTACCAGTTGGTCAAAAGTAAAAACATATTTTTTATAATCTAATTATAATTTTGAATGTGCTTTTTCTGCATTTTTAATTGTGCTACATTTTGTCCCTGACACTTTAGTGTACTAAATTTTTAAGTACCTTGAGGCTTAGGACAGTATATCATATTCTGTCTTATTGCATCTTTGCATATCCTACATCATGAATTGAATTTCCCTACCTTCTTTCTTTTTTTTGTTAATTGTTTTAAGATGGGCATTTAGAGGAACATTATTGTATTAGTTTTTCTGTTTTCACAGTTCGTTCCCTTGTTGGTTATAAGTCTGATGATGTCTCTCTTTTTATTTTTCCTTGTTCACTTAAAGGAAATATTGTTGGACATAATGCTATGGAAACAGGCAATCAAATATTTAAGCTTACTTGATGAATGAACATGGTGGCTAATCCTTCCTGGTTACCTTATATTTTCATAGCCACCATCACAATTTCCAAAAATTATGAAGTTACTGGACTGATTATTTTAAGTAGTTTGGCAATGGTTCTAATTTTCAATAATAAAGTAGAATTATTATGAGAGTCAGTAGATTGTCTGTTTTATGCTGCTGACTGATTTGGCTAGTGATGGTAGAGTCATAATATATTTTTAAGATATGCAAATAATAGACTTTGAACT